TAACCTTTTTAAAGTTGAAAAAGACTTTTCATTAGCAGGTACTAATTGGCAAGGTTGCTAAAATAATTAATAATGTTTTGATATTAGGCAGGGAATCTAAAATGCAATTACACATGGAAAGGGCCTGCAGAGCATTTTTTGGTCTCAGAGAATACCCTATTCTGTCAAGATTTTTATACCAAAATTCGACATCACAAAGTAACTTATCATATGAACCTACTAAATCATCAGCATAAAACTCTGAGATTTTTTTAATATCCTCTCGTGTTTCAAGTGTAATCAACAGTTTAGACTCAACCGGCAAAAGAAAATAAAAGCTTTTTAAAATATAATTATGACTAATAAATCTTTCTTTTAATTAAAATAAAAATGTATCAATAAGGGGAATAAAAATGTTTATTTTATAAAAATCCTCAATCGTAGATGCATCTATATTTGATCAATTGGATTGTATAGAGGCTACTCTAGGTTTAAAAATTTCAATTCCAAACATATTAGCAATCTCCTTTACTTTTCATATATTTCATGAAATTTTTCTTCCACATTCTCTCTGATATTTGTTAATATTTCAACAATATCCTTTGCTCTATTCATAATCTCCCTTAAATCCAAATCAATTTTTTGTAGCATTTTGCTAAAATCATTTGTATAATTAAATAAAAAATAAACACATTGAATTGAAATTAAAAACTGTGGCTTAATAATAGCCTGCAAAAGATTTTCGGCATCTGCTGAATCTTTTTCCTTGATTGATATATAAAATTCTAGTGCTGCAAAGACAACATCATATAGTTCAATAAAGAGTTTCACCGACTCTTGTCTTTCGATGAATCTGGTCGTACAAAATCTTTTTAATTTTTTTTTTGATTTTTTGAGTCAATATCATGATACGTTTGAATAAATAACTCATTTTTTTGGGGTAGTGTGAAATTCATATTGAAAATGAGAAATATATATTTTTATAAAATGGAATATGACAAACTGGACAACTTTTATGAAATGCAAAATAATATAAAATTTATTTAATAGATATAAAAATAATCAAATGTGTATATCTATTATTATTTATAATAAATTTAAAACATAAAAATCAAGCGTTTATTAAGAATTTATTAAATTAAAAAAATTTTTTTTATCATTTTTCATGGGGGGGGGAGGGGTTCAACCCCCAAACCCTCCCCCCCCCATGCCCGCTACTGTATTCATCATATTTAAAATGCCTGCATTCAAAAAGATGCCGAACGAGGGAATAGCCAGGGAGGGAGGCAGCCCCCTCACTCCCCCTCCCCCCAAAAAATTGTAGGCCACCTTTTCTCACAAAATTTTTAAAAAATTTTTAGTTATTAATTTTAATTCACCACTAACAATTAAATATAAATGTCAAAAGCCCGGATTTTTTTAAAAATAGTTTAGGCCTGGCCCGGGTATTTAAGAAGAATTAAAATACCCACCTCCTGTGTACCAGGGTAGGACTTATGGCGACCTGCAGGTCTTTCATATAAATAAGGAAATTGAGATAACAACAATTTTGGTAAGCCAACAAATTAACCATAATTGATGTCATGAATCAATATTTGATTTAATGATATTTCTTAGCGTACAGGAGATACCTTTTCGTGAGACTAGTACAATAAATTATGGATACTGAAAAAGATGAAAACATAATTTATTCTTCTGGACTGTTTATAGCAATGTTTTTTACTCCATCCAAAAATATCCTGATTTAAATAAAATTATGAAATTAATACCCCAAAATAAAAAATGTACCTTACCCCAAATTTAAAACTAATACCTATTATGGCTAATATGGTGATGGAATACATCTGAGTAAAATATAACAAAAGTTTTGTCTTAAGGCTGATGAGACAAAAGATGCATCAGGTTGGGAAAACCTGAGCATAATTATTAGTTATATTTAAAATATAATAGGAATCATTAATTTACAATGTCTTTCTGCTGAAAGCATTACTAATTGTATTTTAAAGCAAGTTAATGAAATAAATATTATGTCATCGAATATAATAAGCCAGGCACATGATGGTGCAAATTAAAGTCAGACCAAAATGGAGGAGTACAAAGCTTGCTTAAAAAAATTAATAAAAAATGTCTTATATACATTACTTCAACAACTAATTGCATTGTATTGGTATAATAATATTCTCATTTTTAATTTCATAATTTATCTAATGCATTGTATAATTTTTTTGGGCGTTTTTGGTAAACATACAGACCATATTCTCAAGAGAATTTTAGACCGGAGGTAGACTGGCCATTTAAAAACATATCGTAGGATGAGAATTTTGAGGCTAGTATTATTTTGATTTTCTATTTGAACTTTTAACTCAGAAGTTTCCACACATGACTCAGACGATGCTACTAATTTCTTGTTAAATATAATTATAATATATTGACAGTTATAATTTATTAACAATTGATCCAACCCTTTCGCGCCTAGTGAGATCATTTGTCATCAAAATTTATAATCAATCAATTTTTATATTTAAAAAATTAATGGTATTTAGATTTACAAAACAATATTTATTATTTTATATTTTATCATTAACCTGTCAAAATCATTATTTTATTATATCAAAATACAAGTTCAAGTTAGGTATTTTACGCGCCTAAATTTTTACACTTTTACATCGATGACCATTCTATATAAATATATATAAATCAAAGGCATATAATGTTTTTATAATAGATTATTACTAGTATTTCATATTTAGTAAAAAAAAAAATTAACACTAACTATTATTTATGATTTTTTGAAGGAAATTCAAATTGGTAACATTGGGGTTTTATATTGTAATTTTTTTCATAAATTTTTTAAAATTAGATATTGAAAATATGATATAGTAAGAATTAAATATAGGTTATTTTCCATTTATAAAGCCACTATAATATTTGCAAAAAGTTAAGAAAGTGGGAATTTTTTTTATAACACTTTTTTTTAAAATTTTTATAAATAATTTTTAGATGACCTCAATATATATTATACCAGAGGGAGATAAATTTTAACAATATATTAGCTCAAAACCGTATAAATGGGGAATTAAAATTTTTGACTTATGTGGATCATCTGGAATGCTATATGATTTCGAAATATATTTAGGAAAATCCACAAATATAAAAAAACTTTGATGGGAATTAGCGGAGATAGTTATACGACTATTAGATACTGTTCCCCTACATAAAAATCATAAAATTTACATGGATAAACTATTTTTCTTCATATAATTTAGCAGCTGCGCTCAAAGATAATGGGTTTATCATGTCAAAGACCCTTAGATCTAATCGATTATCGAAATGCCATCTGGTTGATGATAAAATCTTAAAGGAAAAAGGAAGAGGGTCCCATGATTATAAAGTGGATTCTAATAATATTATAATTTGCAAATGTGATAACAAATCGGTTATCACCATATCATCATTTATGGGTATACAACCCATATCACGAACGAGAAGATGGTCAGTGTCTGATAAATCTTTTATCAATGTCAAATCCGGCCATAATTCAAGACTATAACGGTGGTATGGGCGGGATCTCCATATGTTAATTGAACTCTACAGAACTGACATAAAATGGAAGCGTTTTTACATGCGAGTATTCTTTCGATTATTAGATTCCTGTGTAGTAATTCATGGTTGTTCTAGACGCCACAAGAAACAGAAAAATAGTAAACATGTATCCCTTTTAGTATTTAAACTCAGATAGTTAAAGAATTGATGATGGTTGGAAAGGAAAATGATGGTAAAGAAGGTAGACCTACGTTGAAGATTGAAAAAAAAGAGTATGTTGAATAGTTTTCATCCAATCCCAGATATCAGATTAGATCAAACAGGGCATTGGCCATCAGCGGATAGAAGACACAGATGCAAGTACTGCAAAAATGGTTATTCAAGATTTGAATGTATAAAATGTAAAATATCTTTATGTTTAATAAAAATCGCAATTGTTTTATTTCATATCATTCAAAATAAATTATATATTTTTTTACATATGAATATCCTAATGATGACAATTGGTAACATTTCATAATTCTATATATATACACTTTTTTAAATAAAAAACGTTGAAAATGTGTTATTTGTGTCTTGTTTAACTCAGTTTTAGAAAAAAAAATTTTTGTTTGCGGGAAATATTTTGGGCGTGAAAGGGTTAAATAAGCATCTACCATCAGTAGATCAATATAGTGGACGTTAAAAATTATGTTGAGTCCACAATTAATATCTTGACCCAAATTATTTTATTGCAAATAAAATAGCTCTAACACATTCTTATTAAACCTTAATAGTGAAACAGTACATCATAAAATGAAAATAACAAAGAGATTAGAAGCGGCTGAAGTAGCAGAAAGGCGATTTAGAAAATATTATATTAATATTATGTATTAAAAAGTATCATATTGCATTTAAAGAATTTTATAAATGTTATTCAGCACTTATTATCATTAAGGTGTCAACAGCGTCTTGTGAGGACACATTCTCTACACTCAAGACGATTTTTATTGAGCATCGGAAAATAGATGAAATGTAAACAAAAACAAAATTTAGATCTAATGCTTATGCAAAAAATAATCTAAAATATAGCTTATAATTCATGTTAAAATTTAAAAATTGTCATTATATATTATTTTTTATATTCAATATGAATAATTATCAATAAAAATGGCATTTTTTATGAGTTGACTATTTGTTATATTTCAAAATATTCGCCTCCCCCCCCTAAAAACACAGTTGACTCCCAACTGAAAATTCCTGCTATACTTTGATCATTTAGAAACTTTTTAATTCCATTAAATATACTGCCCTTTTTAGGATGTTATAAGTAAATATTTTGGATTTAAACGTGCTCATAATAAAATTTCAAAAAAAGTGAGCTATATCTCTTTTAACCAATCAAAAAATGTAGTGTTTTTAAAACAGCTATTTATTATGTAAAAAAATTACATTATATAAATACCGGAAATATATATCCGTAAAAAAAATACGTACAGACACTACTTATTTAACAATTTATATTATAAAAAAGTAATTATATTAATTATAATACATATTCTATTATTTACAAATAATAATGTGAATGAGTCCAAATTTAGTTATCACAAGTTAAAAAAAATGTAGTCATATATAAGAAAGTATAATCATTTTAAATACTTAAAAGTTTTAAATGTTAAGGGATTCTTCATTTTTCTTCATCCATTTATCTATGACAAATAACAAAATTATGATTAAAAAAACATATTATATATAAATAAAGATATATATTAAATTTTCATTTCTTAAAAAATTAGATGCAATTAAAGTTTTCAGTTTAAAAATCAATACTTCTGCGAAATCAGATTTATTTGCATCCTCTTCCGCCATCGAATTTTCTTCCTTAACAACATTTTCAACTTTGACATTTATAGATAATACATCGGTCTTTTGTTGTGAGTCTTCTCCTTTGTTTTCCACTACCTTTCTAATTTCCTCGTGGTGTATTTCAACATTGGCTTTTATGATTGTAGCATAATAAGTTATGATGAATTTTGAAAAATATTAATGTATTTAAAAATTCATTAATAATCCCCCTTCCCTCTTTTTTACAAAACAAATAACACTAAATAGAAAAAGGCCAAATTTGCAAGATCAATTTGACAATTATCTATATATAATATATACTGAAGTATTACTATGAATTGGCTAGGTGGTTATTTAGAAAAATAAAAGAACAAATAAAATATTCCTATTAACTTGAATCCTCTTTGTGGCTAAAAATTTCGGATGTTTTTTCGGCTTTGGCTTTTTTGGACGTTTCTGAAGTCGGTGAAACTGATTTATTTTCTATAATAAAAACCCAAATTTGACATTGGAATATGGTTCCATTAGAACATTTTTCAAAATAACGATATAGTTTTGTAAAAAGTTTAAAAAGAGAGAAATCTTTATCACCTGGAGTTATCATTTAAATTTTGAAAAATAGATTTTGATTTTAAACTTTATATATTATTTCGTATGAGAAGGACTATTTTGATAACTAACCAAAATATATAAAAATAATACTTTTGGGCAAATTATCCAGACTTGTATTTCCTGTGTCAAAATCACTCTCGTTGATTTCAACTTTTAATTTGCTAGCAGTTGTTGAGGCATTACCATTTGTATTGTTGTTAGCAGATATAATGTTTTCGTGTTTATAAGATTGAGACAATTTCCTTTTGTTAGAGGAAATCTTGTTTTCCTTGTGTACTTCATTGGTTTCATCCTCGCTATCGTAGAATTCTTCGTCTTTGGCCACCCGCTTGTCGCTAGAGAATACTTTTTTTTTAAAATAAGGGTTACAGGAAAAAAAAATTTTGTTAAATTATTCCAAAAATAACAATTCCCAAAGGATAAACATTCTATAATACTATAATCGTGTAAAGATGTTTTTATATAATAACTAGATATTCTAGGTTCATCAGGATTATTCTTTTCTTCTTCTTCAACTCCGTCGGTAATATCAACACCATCCTCGGGTATAGCTTTAAAAAACAATTTTTTTAAAAAATAAATAAAAGATATAAAAAGATGAATTTGTTGTTTTTTATAAAAAAAATAATGTTTTTTTGGCACAGTTATATTCTATGATACTAACTCCTCCACTAGAGCCCGGCTAAATATTTTTTTCTCAATATTTAGTAGAAATTGTAAAAAAAAGAAAGAATTTTCTTTCTGTTGAATTTTATCAATCATTTTAAGAGAAAGGATATTTTTTATAAAAACATCATGCCAACTTACATTATTTTAATGAGTTAGGTTAAGAGGATAAAAAAAATAAAAGTAAAAACTTTGGATTTGGACTCCGGGTGCGTGGGGTAACATTCGCAAATTTTCGAATAGCTTAACCTTGATCCTATCCAAATATTCCATCGTGTTTTGATTGGTCATGTTGGAAGGACTGATGTGTAGCTTAAAATCGGGCCCGAAATATTCGAAGTAATCGTTGTATGGCAAATCTAATAAATGGGAGGAGACATCAAAAATAGTATATACATCCCGTTAATCATAAAAATAAATGTGGTCTTATTTTTGTTATGGATGATTTGATTTTTAAATATGAATTCACATTTAAAAAGAAAATAATAAAAATTCTATTAAATGGTAACATATCACCTTAATAATGGCGTAAGAGAAAAAAAATTTAAACATAACGCGGTACCTTAATGGAAAATCAATAATAAAATATAAATTTAAAAACTAAATTAGAAGATATTTCAATGATAATTATTAGGGATGTACCGATATTTTATATCGGATCGGATCGGGCCGATATTTCGCTCATTTTAAAATATCGGTTATCGGCAAATATTATAAAATTTTCCGATCCGATATAAAATGGCGCTTTTAACAAAATTTAAAAAAAATTATATCTAAAAAACCATTTATTTTTATAAATAAAATCGAAATACATTTTTATGTTTAATTTTTTTAATAGAAATAATTAGTTAATAAACATTCTGCAATATAGTTATTTTTTTCGCATTCTGTTTAAAAAAGTGTTCATTAATCTCTTCAGTATCTGTTTTTAATGATGCTAGTGATATTAACAGTCCCCATCACCGCCGACATATCTCTGATATAAAAAGAAATCTTCGATATTTCAAATTTCTTAATATATTTTTTTATTACTAATTATGTAAATAGATTAATGTTATTACTTATTATATAAATAATAGTAATTGAATTGAATATAAACTATAACTGACCATTATAATATATTTAAATGACATATGTTATGGTATAGTAAAATTATAGATGTTGTACTAATATAAAGTATATTAAAAATTAAAACCGGTATCTTTGCAGAATACAAAATTAGATATGATATCGGATCGGTTATCGGTCGATATCAATTTAATATCTGAAATATCGGATCGGCCTCCAAAAAGTGGTATCGGTACACCCCTAATAATTATTAATTATAAATGAAACGAAAGCTCATTGTACATATTTATTCAAATAATTCATAAAACATTTCGAGCACTTAAAAAGATTGACCCATCTTCAACTATATTTTTTAAAATTGAAAAAAAAAATTTACGTTTATTTATAATTTAAATATGCTTCAATTTATTTTTTTAAACCATTAGATATGTCAGTATCACAAGCGATAGATGTTTCGTAGGTCCAGCATCTAGCCACGTTTCTGATAGTGTATCCACCTCCTCCAAGCATCAGCAATGGCAAATTGAATCGCTTCATAAATTCCACACATTTTCCGTGACCTTTTATTAATGTTTGGCATGATGAAGTTCAAAAAATAAAATAGTTAATTCTTTTAATTTATCATGCGTATTATGTAGCACCGAGGTGTGAATCAATTTATTTGTGCTTATTCAAAGTTGAGAAATATTTAGGCCAAAAAAACCCGAGAATGATGTAATCTAAAACAAGCTAGGTTTTACCGTTTTTTAATCGGCTAAAACTGTTTAAAAAAGTTACCAAACTATATTGAGAACCAGCAAAACTAAAATAAGATAGAATACTTATTTAATAAATCTAAATAGTCAAACAAGACGCCAAACTAGTAAATTTTCTGTACCAAAACCTGGCCCCATAATATATAATAAAAACCAGGGGCCAGGGCGAAAAATCAAATAAAAACGAGTGCCTAAATACTGGTCTCTGGTAGCATTTCTATTTACTAAAAATATTATAATCAGAATATTATTTTAACTCCTTCCATTTTATAATAGCGTCGAATCCGGGGTAAAGACAACTGCATATTTTGATTGGGAGACAATATAAAATCATTGTCGAAATAATAAGGAGGCCTTTTAAAATAACTCGGCATGATTATTTATAAATTTTTTTCCGGTAAAATAAAAGATAGACTTTTTAGGTAAATACAATTAGCATTATTAATTTAATTAGAATATATACGGTAAGTTTATTCATAAGAATAAAGCAATTAAATATTTAATTACCAAATTCCTAAAAAGTTATTTCTAAAAATGGAGGCTCATGTAGACAAAAAAATTAATGAGTGTTTTATATTTTAGAAAAAAAAATTTTTTGAACAAGCATTTAAAAAAATTGAAAAAACGCCAGTGCGTTGAATCGTAATTCAATTTTATAATATTCAAATAAACCATGAAGAGTAAGGTTAAAACAACCCAAACGATCTCCGGTTAGTGAATCCGCGCCACACTGTAACACTATGGCTCCTGGCTGATACATTTCTACAACTTTAGTTATCACCTATAAATATAAATACAGATGAATGTTAACCATTTTCAAAATCTATCAAATATCTGAGGTTCATTTCCTACACCCAAATCAGTTTTAAAATATATTACAATGTTCAATATCCATACAAAGTGTTGCTAAACTGATCGATTTGAGCCAAAAGATTTTGCTCATAGGTGGCGAAATTTCGAGGCTTGAGATTTTTTTATTAACGATTAAATGAATGGCGTATATAAACGGGATTCAAGAACCTTCTTTTTAAATAAATATATTATATTTAAAAAAATTAATTTGGAAATTTATTATATAAAAAATTTACTAAAAACAAGCCTCAAAAACCACTTTGAAAAATGATATGTTTGGAAATGGGTTTAGGCAATATTTTTCTGGTTATAATGAGTTAGCCATTTTTAAAAATAAAAATCATCTTAAATCGAGCCGTTCAACAATACTACAAGTTTAATAACTTGATAAAATTTTACTTTAACTCAAAAAAAGAAAAGGCTTACTATAAATTAATACAAAAATAAATAAATTGCAGAAGTTAGGGAAAAATAATCCTAAATTAATGATTGACGATTAAGTGGCCACCATTATAGCTCAAATATTACAAATAGGACTACTATCTCATGTCAATATTGCATTTTAAAAGAGCCAAAAAAAAGAATATAACCAAGAAAAATTAAAAGTAAAAAAGTGAGAAAACAAAATGGTAACTGACCGGCTGAAAGACGGTGTGATAATAACGGTCGTCAATGCCATCCCTAAGGGGAAAATTAAGGGCGTAGTGTTTGCCACGGCCAGCACCTACATCGCGAAGGTCTCCCGTGCCAGGAAAGTATTCGCCATACTTGTGGAACGAAGCCGTCATGACGCGATCTGTAGTGTAGAAGGCCTCCTCAACTCCATCCCCATGATGAATATCGATGTCTACGTACAGTACCCGTTGGTGGTATCTGTTCGCCATTTAAATGTATATATATCTCGAGGTGAACATAAATATTACATAATTATGTTTGTGTAAAAATGTATTCTACCCCTTATTTTCTATATCATAAATAAATGTCGTGATACATATTATATAATGTTTTTGATGTATATATTGCATAGATGTCACATCTGTAGGGTTCATTTTTAATTCCCAAAGCTATAATATATTGTAGTTTTTTTTAAAAAATATACTTGAAATTAGAGTTTGAAAAATAGTAAAAAATCTTCTAAGATCAAACATCTTTGATGTTTATATTTAGAAAAGGATTTTCAAACTCTACTTGAAAATTAATTCATAATTTTTTTGCTCTTTAATTAAGAAAGATAAAGTTGGTGGGGTAATTTGCAGCAAAAAGACCGAAAATTGCTCCAAAATTAAATACTTAATTGATGTTCTTAAAAGTGGATATCAAGAATCCTATAACAGACTGATAATTTTGCTTATATATCAAGTTTAAAGCATGAGCAGATTGGAATAGGCCACAAAATTAATACCTTAAGTAGGGATGAGAAAAATGTTTTTTGGGATAAAAGCAAATGCTATTCATTTATGATTTTTAATATTTCAAATACTATTATGATCCTAAAGAAAAATAAAATTTATCTATATTACTGTAAATTTTTGATACTACACATATCAGATATAATTCACCAGTATTTTGTTCAAAATTTTTTCCATTTTACAATCATTTTCTTAAATTAAGTTTATTCAAAAATGGAGTTCTATTTTTTAAATTTAATTTTGAATGTTTAAAAATTTTGTTAAAATAAATTTTAAGCATGTTTTTTTTATTTATAATCCCAAACTTATCAATTTTGACAGGTTATTAATAAAAATGACTAAATTTAATAAAAATTTATTTTTAATATGTCTTTACCTTTATCTTCTGAAACTTTTATTAACCCTAATTCTATCATATCTCTCTAACCTTTAATCAATCATACTCTTTACTTAAGAAACTTGTTTAATTTTAAATATATTACATCCAATTAAAAAAATCTCTTTCAGTTAAACATTCCTTGAGTTGAGCTATTAACAGGGTTGGATCTAAAAATTGTATTAAAATATATATACAATTCAAAAAAAGGGTATATACTAATTACTTATAAAATATTTTTAAAAAAATGTTTGAATGTCAATTTTTGTAAAACACTAAAAAAAATTTTACTAGTATATTTTTATTATTAACCATTTTCTAAAATTATCGAATATCTTCAGTAATATTTAAACATTATAAATATATTTATTATTGCAGCAGTAGCTTATTACATATATTATGTAATAATTGCAAATAATTAATATCATCAGTTTACAGAGTATATTATAAATTATTGGAGGATGAAATTGCTTAATTTATTTTGGTTTTTAGTGGAGCAGATATTACATATATAACTTTCATATATTATTGACTTTTGATGATATTTAAAATATTTCCATCCAAAATTGTCAAAATTATATTTAGAGGATGTAGATGTTGTCAGAGAATCCCCGCAAAGATATCTTATAACTTAATACAAAAACTCCTTATAATTACTATATTTTTCTCATCTTCCAAAAATTTGTTTTTGCTTTAGGTTAGGTTACCAATTTTAAAAAAATTAAATATGATTTAAAATGGAAGATGTTAATTTTTTGGCTAACTAGGGTAACAAATTTAATATTTGGATTTAACATTCTATATTTAAATAAAAGTTTTAGCATTTATATTCATTTTAAAATATTAATAAATATAAAATACTTTTTATTTATAATTTTGTATTTATTACCTAAAATACAAATATTTTCTAAAAGTATTTAGTATTTTAAATGTATGAATTTGTGTTAGTGACCAACCCTGACTATTATCTATTTTTTGATCAGAAATGAAATGGAAAATAAAAATGCAATTATTCAAGGTCTCTATTAAAAATTAAATTATCTTCCGAAATCATTGTATAAATGACTAGAGGTTAATAAAATAATGAGTGTATGCATTATACTAGAATGATAAAATAAATAATATCTAAAGATACTTTATTGAACATTTTATAAATCTATGTGATTTGCAATTAAAATGAGGTGCCATTATACTCAATCTTCCCATCAAATTATTATAAGATATAAATATTTAAGTTTCATAAATAATATGATTTAAATTATATCACATAGAAATTATCTATTATAAAATATATCAAATTAAAAATACTTGAGCAATTCAAGAATGCCTAAAACTATATCATTTGTGTAGCAAAAACCAGAGGCTTCAGACTTTTTGGCATGATGTAAACCACCTGACCAATTTATAGCAATGTCGGATAACTTTTTATTTAGTTTAACAGCAGCAGCTAGATATTTAAAATTATGAATATAATATTAAATAGTTATATAGAAGATGGCTGTCTAGTAAAAAAAAAATTAATATTTGATTATATAAAACTATATCCTTTTTTTTAATGAACCTATGGTTCCACCAGTAGAAATTTGACAGAATTCATATAAGCCATCAAAAACAGGACAATCTTCACCTACATTAACTATTTTTATCAAATATATAATTTCATAACATTTATATTTTATACATCTTTGCATTTGCTTGGAAAACTCATTAATGTTGTCTGGTCTTATTCCTCTTAAAAATTTGACATAATCATCACTATGATATCTAGTAATTTCTTCCATAGAAGCTTTGTGTGGCCTCTATATATCAATAATTAAATTTAAAAAATATATGATCGGATTATTATTTTTTATACATAAATTTCCATTTTTCTATATAATCCATAATTCAAAATTAAATTATGTGCCATACGTATCCTATGAGGTTTCATAGGGTGGCCCTGTCCATAATAATAGTTACCAACATCATCTAAAAGAAAAAAAATTGCCAATTAATTTATATAAGATAGTTACTATCGTAATAATAGCTTAATCGTTTCTTGCTATGGGGTTGTGTCGCTGATGATAGAGTCATGATGTTTTGGTGAAGGCAATATAACTATCCTCGTGGTATTATAAATATTATTATGGAACAATGTTGGTAAATAAATAGTGCTATACTGATATGATATTTATAATAAAATATATCTGCATAAATTCCAATGACTGATATAGGATAGTGAGATTTGTATGTACATGATATAGGAGAAGGCTTGATTTTTGTTTTAAATTTGCTTTAAAAATATAAGGCTAAATTTCATAATCTAATCTGTTTTAAGATATATATTATTTATCTCTTTTGTTTGATTTCTAAAAAATATATTTATGGAGTAAGATTAGCTTTAAAAAAAAAAATTAATATATATTTGGGGGGATTAAAATATCTTTTTAGCATGTGACTATTTACTGACATCTTGCGTTCCTTAACCTTATCCTGTATTATATATATATTCGAATTTGACTCACCAGTTTATCGTAAATATCTAAATTATAAGAGTTATCCTAGTTGAACATATAAATTTTATATTAAATAATAGATATTGGCTATGAAAAGAAAATACATCATTATTGATTTTTTAATCTAATAGTTTTTTTTATGTGGGAAATAAAATTATTAAGTTGAAAATTGGCTATTAAATGTATGAATTAAATTATTTGGATAAAATTTGGAATTCTTTTATAAGTTGGATGAAATTTGAAGATCTTCATCTTCAATAATTGTTACCAGGCCGTGATTGTTACTAACTTCCATGATATTTAGTGAAAAGGCTAAATATCACACCTGCGATATTTAATGAAAATACTAAATATCACACCCTGGTTTATTAAAGCTCAAAACTGATATACATTTATATTTAAAAGATGTGTTTAATTCTTCCATTTTTTACAATTAATATTTTTATTTACTTGTGAAAATCTACTAAGGTAATATTTTATATTAATAATCTAAAAGTATTTTTATTGATCTTAAGAGTAACAATGAGGAGGAATATAAGATGAACTTAGCCATATTTTCAAATATCAATATCATTCAAAATAATTTTAGCTGTATTCTGCAAATGAAATTATGATTTTAGCTGAATTCTGCAAATGAAAAATGATACCCCAGCCCAATTTTTAAAATCAAGCATGGTCCAGATTTGGAATATAAAATTAAGATGACATAAATTTAGGAAGCTTGGAAGGATTAGGAAATAACTAATATAAAGTAATGATACACCTTTTTTAAAGGTTACAATGACATTCAAGATATCCTACTTATTAACCTAAGCTTATAAAATTTAAAGAGTTACATATGCACAGAACAATCCCCTATAGCAAACAATTCAAATTGAAAAACTAAAAAATATGAATATGGTTTATAAATGCAATATATACTTTTTAATTATGCCCATTAACTTTAACCATATTTAATATGAAAAATACAAATAAAAAATTTTCCTAAAAATACATTCACTAGTTTTATATGGTACAAATTTTTGATGAATTTTGACATAAAATTTATTTTTAGTTTTACCATCTGCAAATTAAAAAATAATTTGAACCCAAGTTTTTTTTAAAACATCCTAATATTTAATCAAAAAATATTAATTTATAAAATTTTAATTGCCTTGAAATAATCTCAAAGACTCTTTTTTTTTTTTAATAAATAAGAATTAAAAACATTTTTTTATATTTATCTGGTTTCTTAGAGTTTAAGCCTCCTGCAACTTCTTAGGCATTAATTTGCTTTTTTTGTTCAAATTTTATTTATTTTACATTGATAAATAATATTTACATTTAATAACTATGACCAATTGTTAAAATTGATAAATAACCTTCTAAAATTTAAATATTAATCTAACTGACAAGAAAATTCTTCTTTACTTTTCATAAAATAATTTAAAATGATAAATACAGGAAAAAATCTTTTATAACATGTAGGGGGGCGGGGCTATACATATATAAAAAATGTTATTATTTATTTTTTTGCATGGATCTTTTAGTTTAATATTTGTAGGTAAAGTATATATCTGCAAAATAATTTTTAATTTTGTTTTATTATTCAGCAGTTATAACGGTTTTTTTGAAGTTAAACAATAAACTTTTTTAATAAACAGTTATTGAAATTAATTTATAATATATTATTTACATGATAAAAATAGGCTACAAAAATATTTTTATGCACAAATACAATTAAATGACTAGATACTATTTATTAAAATATAGCCCTTGGCTTATATGTTTATAAATAAATTTATAATATATTATTTACAGGATAAAATTATACTATAATGATAATTTAAATTTCTTATATATATATACAACCAATAAATTTATTTATTTCAGGAATAATAAATAATGGATGATATAAATGCCATTTGTCATTTTAAAAACAAAGATATTTGTTTGAAGCAATGTAGCCACACCAATGATATATATATATCATTGAGCCACACAGGAAATATCAATATTTGTAACCCTGTGCCATTGCAACCCATTTTGTTTTCCACAATATAATCCATTGTGTTATCCACTTTGAATCCGCTAAAGTAGTTGATGTTTTTCTTGAAGCATAAAAGATATCAGAACAGTCCTGATCATTTCATGATGTTGCTCATCATTGCTGATTTCCTTGCTAAGACATCTATAATAATATTTAGAATAGATTCTATAAGTTGTTAATAATAATATACCTGAAAAAACAGTTTCCATCACTTATAATTGTATCAACCTTATCTACCTCATCAAGGTGTCAACATCATTGGTGTCAACAGACTTTATACAATAATGATTTTAAAAGATTAAAAAATATAGTTCATTGCATTATTTAATATAGAATTAAAGTTTCTCATTATGAAGAAAGATATTTGTGTAATATATTATAAAATCTATTAACTAAGCCAGTATTAGCTTATAAAATTTATAACATTTGGACTGAATTCAACTGAAAAAATATTTAGAATAGCATAAAATATCTTCATGTCATCTTTAATTATTAGATTTAAAAAAAATTGTTTACCTTTGTACTTTCTGATTGTGCCTTTTAACCAAAAAAATTAAAAATGCAAAGTTTCATCTACCAAAAATTTTGTAGGAAAAACTATTTTAAAATATCTTAAATAAAAAATTAAATTTGTAGACAAAATTCTCTTACTCCCTTCCCTCCCCCATATATAAACGGTGCTGAAATAAGAATTCCTATTTATTTACCTTTTATACAAATTATGTAGAAAATACTGTTTAAAATATCTAAAATAAAAATTTATAGAAAACCTTTTTAAAATATTTTAAATAAAAATTTGTAGGGAAAAACTTTTTTAAAATATCTTAAATATAAATATATTATTTTTAAAAAAAATTAACAAAAAAAATCATAAAAATAAAAAAATAATTTACCCCCCGAAAGTGGCAATAACCTTAATTGTTTCTATTTATGAAAAATTCGCATATTTTTTGACTGCTTATCCATTAATGTCAAAACAATATGTCTCTTTAAACTATATAATATTCCAAAATCTTAATCGAAGCGATAATGTATGTTAATGAAAATGAGAATAAAGATCAAGTTTATTTAAAAAGGAATACCGTTTTTATTGTATAACCTAGAATCAAATATGTTTATGGCTGTTGAATTCTTTAATTAATCAGAGATCTGCAGACGGTAGAAGTTTAATTGATAGTTTTTTAAATGAGTATATAAATTTTATTAAATTTAATTTAATGTTTTTTAACAGCAGTCTTAGTAATTTCAATATGTCAATAATTGATATTCAGAATAAAATTCATAATAATCATTATTTAGACATTGAGTCTTTTGTTAATGATATACAGAATTGTTTTAAAATAGTAAACGAAAGCATTGATGTAATTTTTTATTACATTATTTTTATCTATATTATTATTACTTAAGCCAAATTCTCAAGATTACTTAGACTGCTTTGAATTAAATCAAACTTTTACAAAGAATTTGCAAACCCTTCAATTAACTCATATGGAACAGAAGGATAAAAGAGAAGATATATTTTTAACTTCTGATAGTAAAAAGACTTTATATTGCGAAGAGAAATCTAACAATGAAAAAATATCTAAACAAGAAGTAATTATATTTAATTATATAAATATTTTATGCTCATTATAGGAAGAATATGAACACATTAATGAACTGATTAATTATATTATTAATTATCATGATCCTACAACCAATCAATTACTATGTGAAGCTTTTAAGATGTTACCATCACGAAATGTAAGTATAAATTTAATAGTTAGTTCTACTTTTTTCCAATTTATAATTTATATAGAAAAATTAATATTAAGAAAAATCTTATATTTATAAAATTTAAATATTTTAGGAATATCCAGATTATTATGACATTATAAAAGAGCCAATTGATTTAACCATGATTATGGAGCATATAAATAATGTTGAATATGATTCTTTAACATCTTTGTACAAAGATTTGACATTAATGGTGAAAAATGCTAAAACATATAATGAGCCAGGATCATGGATATACAAAGTTTTGCATAATATATGACTTACTGATAATTGTAGTTAATATTTATCAGACTTACAGAGATCAAAAAAATATTTTTAAGCCTAGCCCCACCTGAGATTTAAATTTTTTTAATTTTAAAACCCAGTCTTAATTTTTTTTAATAATTTTGCTATATTTTGCAGATATTTTGATGAGAAATTGAAAATATGAGTATTAAACATAATTTTCAACTAATTGATATTATTTTTTTAAAATTTATTTTAATTGACCTGCAGATTTTAACCACTTCACACCCAGGGAGATTATTTGTCATCATAATTTATAATCAGCTTATTTTTATATTAAAAATAAATGGATATTTAGACAAAATAATTTCTAAAATATTCATATTTTATCATAACCTATGAAAATCAATATTTTATTATATTGAAATATAAGTTCAAAATTAGGTATTTTACATGCCAATTTTTACACTTAAATTGATGGTCATTATATATAAGTATGTATATAAATCAAACATATATAATGTTTTTATATTATATTATTTCTAGTATTTTATGTTTAGTAAAAATTATCAATAATTAATATTTATAAGATATTTTTGAAGAAAATGCTAATTGGCAACATTGGTATTTTCTAATGCAAATTTCCATAATTTTTTATTGAAAATATGATATAGAACGCATTGAATATAGATTTTTTTTTTCATTTTTATGCATATTTTTTTATAATTATTTTAGATAATCTCCACATCCATTGGATTTCTGAGGCATACAACAGATGATTTAATAACTTGATATTTCCAGATACTGGGTATTGGAAGTTTATGTTCATTATAGCATCCCAAATTATAGGAAAGCCCTTTGTTTAAATAATGTTTTATATAAATATAAAACAGAGTTTAAATCAGATTTTTCCCTCCAAAAGAAATTTTGCTTTTGAAATATTTTATTGACGATGATATTATTAACAATTTAGCTGAGAAAACTAATATTTATTCCTTTCAATCATCTGGAAAATCAACAAATAATAATTCGAAATTAATAATTTATTGATCATCTTTACACGGGCTTTGTTAAATTGCCATCCACAAGGCAATATTGGGCATTTGAGTCAGTGATTTCTCAAGTTTCTTAAATGCATGGCAAGAAATAAATTCTTGAAATTGCGAAGATACTTTTGCATTAATGTTAAGGATAATATAATTCTTAAGGCTCGGCCTAATTATGATAAGCTTTTAAAATTAAAACCATTTATTAATGCAATAAAAGTGAACTTGAAAAAGATTTAATTGAAGTGATATTATATATTGACCAAATGATAGCCCCCTTTGAAAGTTCGGTGTGAATTTAAGTAATATATTCGCTCAAAACCACATAAATTAGGAATTAAAATTTTCTCTTTATGTGAATTATTTGAAATGCTATATGATTTCGCGCTTATTTATGAAAATCCACAAATAAAAAACTTTGATGATGGGGATTTGCACAGATATCGTTTATAGGACTATTAAAATCTGTTCTCCCACATAAAAATCATAAAATTTATATGAATATTATTTTTTTCTTCGTTTTATTTAGCAGTTGCAAAGATAATGGCTTTATAATGGGGGACCCTAAAGTCTAAACATGAGATAATCCTAAAAAAAGAAGAAATTTCCTTGATTATAAGGAAATAATATTATGTAACCCTCGAGATTTGGCAAATAGGTGTTAAACAAAAAGGGAAGTTTCTGAAATTTTAGGTTGGACATTCTAAATTTAAAACATTGATTCTAATAATTTTATAATTTGCAAATGGCTTGTTAACAAATCTCTTAACACCATATCATCATTTATGGGTATAATTCAATCACGAACGAGAAAATGGTCTGTATCCGATAAATCGTTTTTCATTGTCAAAATTCTGGTCTTAGTTTTAGACTATAACGGTGGCATGGCCGGAGAAGATCTTCAGGCTGTTAATTAGACCCTGCAGAACTGACATAAAATGGAAAAGTTTTATATGTAAGTTTTCTTTCATATATTAGTCTGTAGTGAATACATGGTTGCTCTATAGACGCCATATGAGACAGAAAAATGGTAAACATATCTCTTCTAGTAATTAAAGGTTAGATAGCTAAAGGATTGATGATGGTTGGAATGGAAAATGATAGAAAAAAAGGTGGACATACTTTGAAGGTTGATAAAAAAAATGAAGCAAATTGAATAGTTTTGATCCAATCACAGATATTAGATTTGATTTAATAGGGCATTAACCATTTGCGGCCAGTAGGCATAGATGCTAGAACTGCAATATGTACACTTTTTTGAAAAAAACGTTGAAAATGTGTTATTTTGTCTTGTTTAACTAAGTTTTAGGGAAAAAAAATTTTTTTTGTTCACGAGAAAAATGCCTGGCTCGAATGTGTTAATATAAAATTGAAAAAATAAAAATCTAAGAATTATCAAAAATACTCAAGGTACCTATTACCCTTTCGCGTAGCGTGTTATAGTATTTATTTATTTTTTTAAAATGTTTTTTTTATATAAAAATGTTAATTCTAAGTAATGAATAAAATTAAATTGTCAAATATGTTAAATTTACCAGGTTCATCTATATTATATATTACCCGTAAGAACTGTTCATTTAAAACTGTCATATAATTTACAAAAAATAAGTCAATCATATTCATATTGTCATTAATGACCCTAGACAAACTGGCAAATATTCTTATAAATTTAGTTTGATATTTTTATTCAATCCCTACTTAAAAATGGCTAACCTACCCTGTCAAACCTGCCCCAGGTCTTCACAATTAATTAAAATTTTATTTAAAGATATTAAATTACCATAAATATTTTCAATATTTTTATACATAATAAAATTGACTTTATTTTATAATTTATTATCGATATATACTCTGAACAACATTATTTATAATGTGCATTTAAAATTTCTCATGAGCAATTTTACATTTTTAGACCTACTTAAGCACCTTATTATAATACATATTTGGCTTAAATTTCAAATCTCAAAGTTTATTAGTTTTTAAATTTTTTGTGAAACAAATTACCTACCCCGGGATAACACTATCCCCGGTCTCCCAAATATATGCTGCTATATCAAAATAATTATATTCAATATATAAAAAATATAATATTTTGATTTTTTTTTAAAATAAAAAATGAGATAGATTTTGGCAATCAAATTTTAGCATGTAGACTGCTATATCCTTTGGAAATTCTCTTTATATATCTCAGATACCATCTTAAAAAAAAATATGATATAAAATGAAAGATCACCGTTCCATTTTTATATAAATTTATATTAAAATTTTTAGAAATATTAAAATAATGTAAAATAAATAGTCTATAAGTATACAATCCAAATATAACAAATGGCAATAAAATAATCATTAATGTAAAAATAGCGATTCTCAAGATCGTAAAAAGTGGAAGAGAAAGATCAGATGGGAAATTGATTTACCTGGATAAGCTTCGGAAACCGTCATTAAACGATGAAGAAGTTGTTTTACTCCTTTTTTATTTTAGAAATATCTGATTCCCCTTCCGAAATAAAATCCCAGATACGCCGCTGTATACATGAAATATATAATTTAAAATTGGATCTAAAATTTTGATACCCTTTCATTTTATTGCATTTACTAATTATTTTAAAAGTTTATTTATGTCCTTACTTTTATTATTTTTTTTATCTATATTAGTGATCTGCATCGGGCCTAATTTTTCAAGGCCGGCCCGCCCGAAATTTTTTATAAATAAGTTTTGCAGGTCCGGCCCGAACCCGAAATTTTTTTTAAAAATATTTACCGGCCCGGCCCGAATTTATTTAAAATATAAATTAATTTTTATAATTACTCAAAATAAAAGACATGTTATATGTCGTTTAGTTTCAATAAATAAAATCAAATATTTTTATTTTACATAAAAAATTCAATATAAAATTGATAAATTTAGTTATATTTAAAAAAAATTCCAAGGTCCGAACCGACCCGGCCCGAATTTGTTTAAAAAATATCGGGCCGGGCCTAACTTTGCAAATCTCTAATCTATATAATAATCAATAATAACATGCTAATCAATTCAAAAAATTGTTTACTACATTATGTATTTTCTTTTATTATTTTTTTATCTATATAATAATCAATGATAGCATGCAAATCAATTCAAAAAATTGTTTACTACAAAAAAAATGGAATTAGAACATAGCAAAAACATAACTCAGGCAGATTCGAACATGAATTCTAACAAAACTAGTGACAGATTAAAGTTAGATTATGAATCTTTACATTTAGATCTAATTTTAAAGCGTTGAATTTTTTTTATCCTTAATTAATTATCTTAATAGGGGGAAAAATATTTACCGCACTTTTATTTATTAGGCCATGTCCTGGTTCGATTTATTACTAAACCGGGGTTTGGTTAGCTGGCTATTTATCTTCGACTTAACAGCTTAAATAAAATAAAGAAAAAATACGAAAAAAAACAATGCCACCAAACACTAAACAAACCTAAATAGAGTGTCTTAGCTTAAAATCGCCTAAAGATCAAAAATAAGTCGAGCCAGAAAACAGCCTTAAAGCTTATATAATGTATACTAAAAATAACATAGAAGAACCGTCAGAATGAAACGGGCTAGCGACATGACCTCCGTAACGACAAGTGACGATGAATATAGCAATGCAACAGATGCCACATTTAATAACCAAGTCATTAAAATTTTTTAAATATTTGAAATGGGTTCCTAAAAAATAAAACTTAATTTCCAACTATCTATCTTTACAAATAATATATATTTATAAGGCTGAAATCTAAGAATAATTTTTTATAAGATCGTAAATCACTTAACTCAAAGTAATTCTTTTTTTAAAAGCTTATTAATTAATCTTGCACCACTTTATCTTATAATTAATCTTATATCATCACACATAATTTAAAAAAAAAGAGTAATTCCTTAATTGGCCAAAACGTCAACTTTATTTCAACTCGGCTTAGCACCAATAACCAAGGTAGTGACGACGAAAAAATGGAAGATAATTCTCTCTACTGGAAACTTTACGAAGAAATTAGATATTTAGAAGATCCTTCATTACCAAATAATTTTAATAATTCAAGTGCCAATTCAGGTACAGGAGGCACTGTTAAATTATCTGACCCCTTTAACAGACTACCATCTTCTTATCATTACCCGGATTACTACGAAGAGATTACCAAGCCAATGGCATTGACCCAGATCAAGGCTAAGATCAAAGTTTATATATTTATTTATTACAGTGAAATATTAGTTTAGAGTGAAACTATATACTCAATTAGTTGATTTCGATGGCTTATTTGTTGGGTATAACCAAAAATAAGACCCTTTTTTATCCAGAGGATGTATGCAAATGGTACACAGATTCAATGGAAAAAAATAAATTTTACCACCTTAGTTATCTCATTGCATATAATTTTGAAATTATAAGAAAATATAGCCTGGACTTATTTTATTTATAAAGAGTCTTTAGTTATAATAAAAATCTTGATTTTATTTAAGAAACTTATTTTCCTCCAGCTATTTCAAAATTATAAGTATAACATAATTGAAAGATGGGCCGTGTTCATTAAAAAAATCATCTATTGCATAAATTTATTTTTAAAGTTCACATGGTTTAAAATATTTACATCACCATTTGTCTGAATATTACCACAGCAAATTTACATAAATTGCTTCTACAAGCTTCTGTTATAATTTTATGCCTTATTGTTTCAATATCTTTCTGAATGTGCCTTTATACCTAGATGCTACTTCATTCTCCATAATTTTCTTATATTCTCCATTAGATTAGGAATTCCAAATATTCAACTGGGAACAGTAATTACCCTTCTATCAATTCCCATATCCTTTGGAATATCACGGCTTTTTTTATGCGATCAGAATGGCCACTTATTTTTATTTCTCGAAGGGTAATTATTATAGTTATTATATCTTAAATTGGCATTCATCGATAAGTATTATTTAATTCACTCCCCCTCAGACTTAATAGAGGCTCATTTTTTGAACTGTTAATAATATTGACCTTTTGGGTACTATGAAAAAGTATTATACCGACCGACAATATAATTAACTCATCAAATCCCTTATTTATTAATGGTAGATTTCAGACAACGGTCTGGAGTACCGCATTAAAACTCGAGCATATATAATGGATTTTTATTTCCTCGCAACAAGCAGAGCGAAACCATACTATTTATCTTGAAATAATACCTTTATCTATAAATTTTTTATATGCCCTTTAAGATTTTTCCCTTTTTATAATGCAGTAATAACTAATTTATAGATATATGCATCCCAAAAATTTCCGTGAGTATTGATTCTTTATCTGTTACACAATTCTTTACCCACCTTTTCCCTCACCCAACCTTATGAAGTACTCCCACACTATTATTCTCGTTAGCTGTGAATGCAGGGTAATGTTTTATGAGCTCCATTTTTTTACATATGGTTTTTATAAAAAAAATGGAGATCATTTTGAATGCAATATTTATGCTGCTTTGGATTTGAATATAAATTTTTTTTAAAAAATATGTGATACGTTTTGATTCATCGATAATATACAATTTAAATAAAATTAATTTCTTTCGCACAGAAAAACATGTACACCTCAATGGCGGAGTTACTCGATGATTTTTTTTTGATGTTCAATAACGCCATGGCATACAATATTTCCGACAGTAAAATATACAAGGTAACAATTACTTTTTTGGATAAAAATGGACCTGATAAGATTTTAATCTTTATTTTAGATATGAATTATAATTTTTCATTCCTTTAAAAATAATTTTTGGAGATATAAAAGTAAAATTTATAATCAAATTTGTACATTTTTCTTTTATATTCATGAAATTAATTTTATATTATCTTCCTTATATTATTTCGATTTAGGAATGTATCTTGTATGTATTCGAAATTTATATCGATACTAATGGCAAAAAAATATCAATAAACATGTGTGAATTTTTTTTTAAATTCAAGTTGTTCTCTTGGACCTATTTTCTAGTACAAGATATCAAAAATACTAGGTTTTTAGCTACTCCAATTTTTTTTTATAAAGTCCTATGCTACGTTCAGATTTTTCAGGGTTCTGGTCTTTTAATTTAGTCGTTCGTCTTTTTCTTTCCAAGAAACTTTACTTTTATAAATATTTTTACAATTGAAATTTTATATTTTACAAGGATGCTCTCTTTTTTAAACGGTATCTGAGAAGGAAGCTGAGCGAAGAACAGCACACCTATGCAAACATTTTGCCTTCGGATTACTTGACTAATCTAGACAACTCTGACCCCAGCTTAATGGGCCCAGACGACCCCAACTTAATAGGTGACGACTCCAACCCAATGAGCTCGGACGACGCCAATTTGTGCTTAGACGACCATCTTCCAGTTTTTAAAAAATCTAGAGGTAGGCCACCCAAAACTGCCCCAACTAACAATGTTAGTGTTGGTATCAAAAATATACCAAAAGCTACTAAAGAACCTAAAGAGAACGACACGACAAAATTGATGGGTAGATTAGTGGAAGCGTATAACGAGATAACTCGGCTCGAAGTTAGTGGCGATTATAACATTTATAAAAGAGTGGTATTGATCAGAGATCTGTAAAGCTCGGCCATTAAAAATTCTTAAACAAGTTACCCGACCTTTAAAATTCCACAAATAGTCAGACTCTGTCCTTTAAAATTTTACGGAAAATCTGGCCTAGCCATTCGAATTATTTTGTAAGAATTTTCATGTGATCACATTTTTGTCTATATCTAAATCTATATTTTATATTTATAATTGGTTTATAAATAATGGGTTTAAATTTTTATGTATTTACTTCTTTTTATATATGGATTTCGTATTTTATTTAGAGAGCTCTTGAAATACAATGAAATAAGCATATTGTAATTTATTTTCAATATTAATCAATCAAAATGTTATGAAATTTAAAAAAAATATGTATATATCAAAATAATAATTTTCTATAAAATAAGTACATTTAATTAATTATTATATAAGAACAACAAATCATCAATATATCGTGTCCTTTGCTTATTGCAGACCTCTGCTATGCCCCATCCCTGTTTGAGGTTGATGGCCTATTTTCTTAAATATTATTAAGATTTAATTTTATTGGATTCGCTCTGTTATTGTTAGATAGAATAAAATATAATATTCCGATTGATGCACTAATGAATATTTTATTAATAGCAAGGCATTAAATATTTATGAAATTTTTTTTTAAAAAAAAACAATAAATAATAGAGTATTAAATATTTGAATTATTTTGAAGCTAAAATAATATAATACAAATCACGGGTTTCACAAAGACAATGTAAGGAAAGAGACGAGAGGAAAGAATATAAATATTGAAATTGAAAATATACAAAATAAAATTAAGTTACTGGAATATCATAGATTTATATAAAACTATATCACAATTTTAAAATAATACTTTGAACGTTGAAAGTAAAACAAATATAATGTAATTTAAAAATATATATTAAAAATATCATGTAAACTATTTGTAAATTAAAATCTATATAAAAAACTGTATAATAAAAAAAATAATTAGTATTGTAAATTGTATGTTGGGTGGGAGGAGATCAAGAAAGAGAGCCGTGGATGGCAATGCAGTTAGATCTGCATATATCAATAGATATGCTTATAAAAAATTTTACCCGGCCCTTGGACCGGGCTTTCGGGCCGAGCTTTGCATATCTCTAGTATTGATATCAATCCATCAAATACGATGTGAAAATTTTTACATTATTTTTTACCTCTTATATTTTATAAATTTGATGTATCTTTTTTCTTAATAAAATAAAATATATCTAAATAATACTACCTTGTTCTTTGATCATTAGGTTTTAATCTAAACCTCTAGCGGTTATTTAGTTTTTGCATCTTATTTTATTAACCCACCGATAATGGAATGTTTGTATTTATTTGTATTCGTACAAATAATAAAATTAGTATTTTCGATAATTGAATTTTTTTTTTTAAAAAAAAGAAGTATTATACAAAAGCGGTAAATATTATAAAATTTTATAAGAAAAAATGATGTGAAAATATTTAAAAAAGTTCCATTGTACGAATATATTTGAATAAACAAATAACGACCGAAGAATGAAGAGGGTATTATTTAGCTAATTATGATAAAAATTTTCAAAGGATGAAAATGGTTACAAATTAGCGTTGCACTTCATCAAAAAGCTTAATGACCCTCGCGCGAATTTTGCTGATTTTACCGATATCGAAAGGGCATTGAGGGAGGGACAAGTATAAATTTCACTTCACATTTTTATTAATAAGTCATTAAAAGTAAAACATTCAAATATAATAAGCTACGCTGATTGGCTCGCAAGCTCGAACCTAAATAAGTAATCTAATTTTAGACTTAGGAGGGTATTTTTGACTCCTTTCTTATACTTATAATTAGGAACATTAAAAAAATTCTAAAAATTTTTTAGTAGTTTTGAATGATTTATATTTCTCCATTTTTTTCCTCCTCTAAATAATAACCAGTACACTTCAGTTACGAAATTGCTCGGTGACGCCTTTAAATTGGTTCAAGCCTTCAAAACCCACATTTACAATGTACCCAACGAACCTTCGTCTATAGCAGGCTATAGGGCTGCCGAAGCAATGCAAAGTTTTTTGCTTAATAACGCCAAATTCAAGGAGATCATAGCATCGGAAAATAATATGAATACCACCGCGGTTTATGATGGGAACAAAAGGAGTGCCAATTTAAATAGCGCAGAAATTGTGAAAGAGGATCCTTCCGGGGCTGGACTTACAAAGTAAGCCGAATGATGTATACACACGATAATAATTTGATTTAAAATATGTACACCAATTTTTGAATCGAATTTTGACCATTTATGAATGTGATAGAGTAAATATGTGAATGAAAACGAGCTATACGATACCTATTCATCAACTTTCAAATATTTATACATGTTTATCCTTTTAATATGGAGTGTGTTGTGTTTATAATTTATGCTGGCCATAAGTGGTAGGGTTGTATTAATCTGCAAATTTATAATGGAAATGCATAATATGTTCTTTCCTTTGAAAAACGATATGTTCATTATTAATACTTATGTTGAAGGGTAGGTTTTGTTTACTATCTAAATAATTTTCTAATGAAGAATAAAGGTTTTTTTTATATTTAAATCAAATTTTATTTTTATAATACATCCCTGAAGGAAAATATAAAATCTTGAGTAAAACTAGTCGAACATATACTTATTTCAATACATTAAGATAAACTATGTTGGAAACTAATGTTAAATAATTGAAAAATTATTTATATATTAATAATATGGATTATTTTAATATAATTTTACACAAATTACTATTTTTAAATAATTTTGCATGAATTATTTTTTTATTGTCAAAATATTTATTTAAATAAGATATAGTAAATTATTCAAAAAATTATTTAAAATAAGCAAGACAGAAAAAAATTAAATCGTGATTTTTGTTTAAAAAAATTACTGATTTAATCAGTCTAATCCTACTCTTTGATTAAATTCACTAATTATTTTTTGCTTATGCAAAGAAAAAATATTTTTTATGTTGTTAAGTTGTGTGATTATACCATTTATTAATTATTTGATCTAATTTTTAGCGACCCATTTGATATTTCCTTTCTCAGAAATTTATATTTAGTACCAATAATAAGCTATGTATTATTATTTAATAAACTATCATCAAATTTTCAATGTCTTTTTTGAAGTGATTTTTGCTATTTTAGTGATGTAAAAAGGAATTCTTGTTCTGATTTATAATATCCAACAACTTCCCTTTGCTCTTTATTAGGCTTCCATAGAATTTTTAAAATAGCTCTGCAGCACTTACCTTTTAACTAGGGTTGTTAAACGGCTCGTTTTGAGCCGATTTTAAAAGAGGCTAGCTCAATATTTTAGCCAGAAAAATATTGTCTAAGCCTCGAGATTACGATAATATATGTCTAGAACTTTGTTCTTTCTATGAGCAGAATCTTCAGACTTACGTAATATTTTTTTTTGATAAAATAATGAGTTAGCCCTTTTTAAAAATCGGCTCAAAACGACCCGTTTAACAACACTACTTTTAACCATGGTGCTAATATTAAATTATATTTGAAACAATAAAAAGGTAAGAAAAAATTCACCCCGAAATAAGTTATATTGCACATTTAATTGCTATTTATTAAAATAAGAATAAAAATTAATATTTATTATCCACTATACTTCCTTCCGAGCTTTCGTTTTAATCATAAATCGTCATATTATGATTGGAAATTATTTGGATAAACCTATTAACTAGAGAGAGTATACATTGTTCTTATTTAGTTAATAGCACCACACTCATACAAATGTTAATGATTGATTGTTTAGAATTAATATGTCCGACTTATGTGTTAGATACAGGCAAACCGAAAGAGAATTAAGGAGGCGTCTTTAATATTTTTTAACCTCTTGTTCTTGTTTGCATTCCTTTTTTTTTACTTCATTTCATCTAAGGTTTCATTTACATTTTAGGGATCCTCGTATAATACCTCGAAATATTAATTTTGTATATTTTTTTAAGATGTAGTAATAACGGGCTTATAATATCGACCGGAAGTCATGATCCCTTCTTATAAAATGGCACATATAAAATTGATAAAATGGGGGGGGGGGGGTAGAATACCATAATAATCATGCAGCCATTAATAACCAATTTGTAATATTTCACAAAGTAGCAAATTATACACTGGTCACCCAGCTCATTCATTACCCTGATATATAAAAATTGAGCTTTTGCGTTTTACTATCGTGCTTTTTTAATTTAAATAAAACGTAAAGCATCCCTTGTTTAAATTGAGGCATGATAAAATATGCGAGACGTAAATTATAAAAAAAAATGTATTGAAAAAGCAAACCATTTCGCGTTTTTTAGGTTTTTGTGCTTATCGATAATTTGATCAATTAGCGATACCACTTGAAATGCTATTTGCGTTTGCAACGCGTGAAACGCTCAATTTGTACGCACTATATACTAATCTATTTTTTATGATATTTAGGGCTCTACGTTCTCGTTTGCAAGATATTTATAATGAGCTCATGAATTTTCAAGATCGGTCTTCTAAAAAATCCTTAGCCGCGCCATTTCTTAAGCTTCCTTTAAAATCGGTATATAATAATTTTGATATCTTTATTTTTTTAAAAAATATCCTGGGCCACAAATGATCATCCGCTATTAAAAGCTCTAAAAGTTTTTTATATTTCAAATTTGTATTACAGTTTGTGAATTATGAAACAAAAATGGTTGACGTCTCCTTATTAATGTTGAATCAGTAGTATTTTTCCAAAAAAAAATATTAATTTAAGTTATTAATAATGTGGGAATCGACGATTTTTGATAATCACGAAAGTTAATTAAAATTTCAGAATAATTAAATTATGAAAGAATAAAATATTTTATTTTGTTTTGGTTAACCGTATATGAGATCAAAAACTAAGGTATGAAAGGCAGTGTCAATGTGAGATTACTAAGGAAAAGTATAAAACTTGGAATCAAATACAATGTTAAAAAAATATTGGAACCCGTGATGTTCCTTAAATAACTTTTGCCTCGCGTTTGAAATATATATTTTTTTAATATTTTATATTTGAAGTAAAAAAAAAATTTAAATAAAGTTTCACCAATTCATTCATTTTTTTTAATTTAGAAATTAAGTTGGTAAAGAAACGTTGAATAGTATAATATCAATAAAATAATAACTTAATTGATAAATATATATTTTACTAGTTGATAACCCGTCAAGAATGACGGGAATAATAAAATCTTGAACTATTATATGAAATTTTTTTTAAATACATTTTTTTATATAAAATAAATGACAAATTTTAGTGATTATTTATTCATTTTATTAAATTTAGCGTAAAATATATGAAATTGTAATAAAAATGTAGGGTAGATATTGATAAATTGATATTGTATGTCATTTCCAGAGTTCAAATATTGTTGTTGAGATAAAAATTTTATACTGGCATATTTTGGGGTGGTAATATGAGATAAATATTTATTTTTCAATTGGCTAAATATAATTTAAATTTATTTGTTAAATCTAAATTGTAATAAGTACTTAGGATTAGTGAGGGAGTTAATTTTCTGGCATGGGAAGATATTGATAAATAGGTATTTTATACTATTTTCAGAGCTCCCATATTGTGGTTGAGATAAAAAAAAATTTACTGCCATATTTTGGGGTGGTAAATAATTTAAATTTATTTTTTAAATCTAAATTTTAATATAAAAATAATTTTATAAAAATTAATAAATTTTACTTGATTGAATATAAATACTTACGCTAAAATTAATATGAGATAAATGTTTATTTTTCGATTGGCTAAATATAATTTAATTTGCTATTTTAAATTTAATAATATTCATTTTTGCCATAATTTGAGGTGAGGTTAGTATTCTTTTTAATATAATTGAGGTGTGGTTAGTATTCTTTTTAATATAACACAATAAGATCTAAATTATATAAATTAATTGAAAAATATGTTAATAGCAAAATAATAACATATATAAGAAAGATTATATTACAAAATTTAATATAGAAGGTGGCTGAGTGCAAAAACGTTTGCCTTTAAAACGTTAAGTCATAGGTTCGAATCCCGTAATGTACAAAAAATTTTCTTAAAATTTAACATTAGAGATATATAGTCTCCATCGATTTATTTAACATTAAGAGGATAGGAAAGTTGATAGAAAAAACAAAAATTAACATTAAGATTATACGAAAACGTTCATTTCTTGATTAAGTAGATTATATATATAGATTATAGGCTAAAAATTTGGCAATCCATTCATATTGTATTAGAAAAATGGAGATTTTTCTATATTTTGATCAATGTTATCCTTAATTCCTTTAAATAGTCTAATCAATGTAATGTAGAATTTTGTTATTCATTTCTTAACATTTAATTCATAGATTCCATTTTAATTAATAAATCCGTGAAATTTTACCCACCTTTTATAAGAATCTTGAACACGATAGGTCTCACTCAATCCTTAGCAAGATTTAATGATATTATATAAAAAAAACATTTACATAAAAAAACTATATTTCAGGAGTACCCCGATTACTACCAAATCATTACCCAACCCATTGATTTAACCACCATAAATCGCAAACTGTATTACAACAATAATATTTCCTACCAAACGGCGCAAGAATTTTTCTCTGATTTAGATCTCATGCTCGAAAACGCTTTCACCTTCAATGATCCAGAATCCACGATTTATAAAGTATTTTGCTTCTTTTTATCGTTGTTGCATTTTAAAGCAAGACATGATTAATTTTATAAATAGTTAGAGGGGTTGTATTTTTTTTATCAAAAGCAAAAACCCCATTTTGCTCGCAATTTAAAAACTATTGTGAATTTTTTTTTTGGTTTTTATTTGTTCACAAAATAAAAGTCAGCTATGTTTTAAAAATCATATCAATTATTGAAGTGAAAAGAGTTGTGGTAAATATCGAAACTAAAAATAAATTTTACTTTCTAATTTAATTTGGTATTGTTTTTTTTGTTAATGATTTTTTTTTAAATAAAATATATATTGGAATGTTCAAAATGTTGCATTTTTTGAAAAATTCAAATATTTTATTTCCCAGCCATATACGTTAGGGATCAGCGAAGCTCTACCGGAATTTAGGACAAGTTTTTCGGGCTGAGTCAGATAACTTTTATAAAATTATTTCATGGTTTGGACCAAAAAATCTTTTCATATTCACTGATTTTTTTTTACCTTAGGAAGCCTTGCAATTATACAGATTTGTGTGCGAAAAGAAAACGGAATTGTATGAAGAGATCAAGGGTAAACCAGATGTCCAACTCAGGGTTAGAACTATATTCGTCACTATTTACGTTGGGTTGATCACTCATCAGGTTCTAGCTTACTTTTTAATATTATATTATAAGTTATATGATCAAATCTAATATATAAATATATAGATAATGTGGCCTAATTTTATCTTTTGGTGATGGTTTTACCTTCACTTGAAAAGTTAGGAAATACATATGATATCAGATTCCATTAGGATTGTGCCGAAATTAAATATAAATTCTGATCTGGCCGATATTTTTAAGTTTTTAAGCCATTTTTTTATTGTTTTTGTTTATATACCATGATTGTGTAATATGATTAAAGTTTTTTTAAATATTTTATACAAAATTTATTAAATGAATAAAACGAAAAGAAAGCAAAGCAAATAGTGATATTATTTTTTGTTATATATTACCTATAACAAGAGTAGGAATTTAAAAATATCTAACGAGTCACATTTAGGCGCAAACATTGCCCATTTTTAAAATGAATAATTAAGAGCGAAGAAGAAAAACAAAATAAACCTTGGCCATGAGAAACAAAATTTTTTAAAATCTTTTATTTTTGCAAGTCATAGTTTACAGTTAGTTATTTTTTTAGCCTAAATTGATTTTTTATGACATCTATTCAAAGATACATAACAAGTAAAAGATTAATAATAATTGATTTTTTATGACATCTATTCAAAGATACATAACAAGTAAAAGATTAATATATATATCGGTTATCCGATCGGTTTTGATAAATATTGGAAGATTTTGTGATTCGGCACCGCCCTAGATTCCATATTATTTTTTTAAAGATAAGTTAATGAATGAATCTAGCAAAATAATTCCCCTAGAAATTAATTCCCTGGAAGATTATTCCCCAGGAAAAAAATTTCCTGTAAAATAATTCCCCGGAAAAAAATTCTCCCTTTTTAGATCTTATAAAATATTTTATTTTTAGAAATTAACGAAATAGGAAAAAAAATCCCCAAATAAAATATTATAAATTTTTGAGAAATTCGTCAAAATAAAAAAAAATTTCCCAAATAAAATTCTTAAACAAAATTATGAATAATAACTAGTGATTAATATTGAATTTTCACATTTTTTTTTCAATTTTAAATTGTATAACTTTTTCATAATTTTCATCTATTTCTATAAAAATCTATCATGTTTTCTTTCCAAGATGTCACAAATCTATATTTTTTATGCTATCTACTAAACCGATTTATCAATTCTCATATTTTAAGATTACCCTATTTAATCGCTTAGAATTAAAACAGAAATGCTCAAAATATCCGTAAACGTCGAGAATAAATACTCAACGTTCAGAAAATTTTACTGAATATAATTTTTTTTAAGAAATATTTTCGTTATTTTAACGGCGGGATTATTTTTGATAATTTTAAAAAAAAATATTCTAGGAATTTTTTTCCGGAGATCTCTTCTTCTTCTTCTCCGTTTTATGGCGATTTCCAGGTTTACCCGGGTAGGCCAGTTTTCCCTCTGATTTTTCTTTTCCATTTTTGACGGTCCTGAGCATCAATACTTGTAAGATTCAAGCTTCTCATATCCGCCGCTATCACATTTGTCCACGTCATCTTGGGTCTTCCTCTAGGTCTTGATCCTCCTACTTCCATCATTGTGCATGCTATATTTAATTTAAAATCTAAAAAAATGGGGAATTATTTTCAGGGACTTTTTTCCTGGGGAATTATTATCCACTTACCATAATGAGTACAACACTCAATTCGTGTTTAATAACACAGGGCTCGTACAGTATCCAAAAAAAACATGCCTAAATTTATTTACAAGCTATTTGTATATAATTATACACCGTACAATTTATATAAAATTATCATATAATTTTTATTGTCCCTTTTTTAAAAATCTAATTAAACGATTAGCTACGATTGCATTAAATATTTCTTATTCCGTTGTTTTTCTAAAATTAAACTTTTATGTATATTTTAATAAAAAAAAATAATGTTCTTTTATTCAATAACCCCCTCCCTTATAGGACAATCGTGGCGTTTATTACAGTGATACATTACAAGATATTATGCAAGGATATTCCGAAAAACTACGTGATTTGCCGGGCTACTTTTTCCCCAGTTACTTTAAAGGGTAAATAATATATTTGCACAAACATTGTAGGAAAAAATTCAGGGATAAAAAGGTAGACATGTAATCATTTGGAATGATTTTATTCCTTTCCTCTACATAATTTTAAAACGTTTATATAAGAACATATGAAATTAAAATTTGACATGAGGATTGTTTTATTTTTGGTCTAATATTATATAAATTAAATTCAGTGAAAGTAAATTCCTGCATTGGACCTATATTTTCCAGGCCAGTCCCGGACAGTAAAATCAGATCAGAGAGAAATTTCATTTATTTTTTTGTCCTACCTACTATTTTCAAGGATTCTAGTCTCCTTTCAAATTGCGACTCTTATTATTTAGTAAATTTTCTAAAATTATTTATTTATATCAAAGTTTTAAATATAAAATCTTTAAAAATTTGTGATTTCATCTTGAAATAATTTTTTTATGCATGAAAAATTATAAAAAAATATATAACTTAAAATATTATATAAAATTACGAATATATAAAATTATAACAATTGGTTAAATTTTATTACCACCATCCTGTTTATATATAATTGCCTATTTTGCCCATAAATATAATTGTCTTATTCCTTTACTGAGAAAATAAATTTTATTTTTAAAGCAGAGTGGAAAAAATTATAAGCGCTAAATGGAAAAAATATCTTTAATTAGTGTAATTCATTAGGAAAACATGAAAATTTAAATTTTTTGACGAAGTTCAATGAAAATGCTTGAGTTCCAGTCTGACAAAGTTTGAGAGATCGTATTTAAACATTGCAAGATTATTTGAAATAGTCCAAAATCCGGAAATGATTTTATGTAATTATTATTTTCACATTTATTTTAAATTATGACCCTTTAAAACTTGTTTTTTTTTCTCTCATTGAGTTGCATTTAATTTAATAATTTTTTTTAATGATCCATAAACACAGTCTTCATACCAATAGTTACCAATACCTATTACATTTTGGGAAATAAAGCTCCAAATTTTATCAAAACCATAAGCAAAAATATGAGGCATATTAGGCGACCCCAACGAAGGATTCAACTTTCGTCAGCAGATTTCTTTTTTAGCATTCACTCCTCTTTAGGGTGACATGTACTATTCTTTTTTAATGTTTCATATAAAATTTATATATTTTATTTTTCACATAATTTTTATATATTACTTTTTTAAAAAAAATAATTTTTTTTAATATACGAAAAGATATAAAACAAACAAAATTTTCTTTTTCCAAATATAAAAAAAAACGAAAGAAAAAAAAGCTTAAAAATGATTTTAACGAAATGTTGGAAAACTCAAAAATTAAAATTAATTTCCTTATAACAAAAATTTCTTTTTAAAATAAACTAAATTTAACAAAAATGAGCAAATTATAAAATGATTGGATCAAAATGGAACAGGATAAACAACTTTTTGTGTTAGTTTTTTCTGCGAAAAACTTATTTTTCATCCCTAGCGTCATACATGCAAGTTGCATTTTAAGAACTGATTTTTGCACGTTCAAAAAGTAATCCCATGAATTTCGAGACCATCAAGCGCTATCTGGACACCGATAAATACACGAGATTAGACGTATTCCAAGACCACGTGCTACATTGCCTCAAAAAGGCTCTCTTTTACGCTCTCTCCAAAAAATTTGACCACCAAACCAAGTCCAAAGCCGAAATTAGTGGAAATATCAGCGAGAGTAAAAATGATTTTGAACAGACAAAATGTGTGAACGCAGGGGTCGAATTGATGAACCGATATTTTGTGCTCAGAGATAGGGTCTGTTTGAGAACCGTTAAAGTTAGTCAGCCCCCGTCCTCAGAATTGGAACTTAGTGATGGACATGAAAGGAACGACAGGTTTATTTTAAAAAATTTTAATGTAATATATTTAAGAAAAGAAAAATAAGTATTTCTTGAACGATTTTAAAATGGGATAGAGCAGTTTAAGTAATTAAAAAAATATAATATTATAATCTAAAAATAAACCCTATAATATTCAAATAATATCGTATTACAAACACGATGAATTTCAACCCATGTTCAAGGTCTTGGGTCGATTTTTAAAGAGGTAAGATTTTGGCAAAAATAATATCACGTAAGCCTCGTTATTTAGCAAATAAAGATCCAAACCTTTCTGCCATTATGATCAAAATCTCCAGGCTTACATAATATTTTGGCTAAAATCTTAGGCGGGCCTTTTAACAACACTACTTCCGACATGAATATTTACTAATAAATTATTTTAAAAAGTATCCTTCCTTACTCTAGCTTATATCCATAAAAAACGTTTGCTTAAGCAAATGATAATCTAAAAATTTTAATATTACTTATTACTAAATCTACCTTTAACCTTAAATATCATTACCTAAAATCAATTTTATTACAAAAACAAAACGATCTTTTTTATTTCGACGCTATTTAAAACTCCTTAAGGTACCTCCGATATTTCGTACTTAGATCATTGGCCGCTTTTAATGAGAATAAAAATAATTCGGAGTTTCCAAAGCTAGTGAAAAATTTTTTGGTTCAAGGGAAGAAAGCCGATGAAAAGAAGCACGAAAAATTCTCCATCAAAACAGAAAATTGTAATAATTCCATCACAAATATGAGCGTCAATGAGGATGATTGCGCCACCGAAGAGACCAATTCTAACAGTAACGATGTCAATAGCAGTTTTGGTGATTGGGTAATTTATCTTAACCCCCCATTCATGGTTAGCGCGAAGCGAATTATTCAAAATATGCTGTATTTTGGTATACTTCGCCGCGAATTCTCGCTAACTGTGAATGAGGAATTATTGTTATCATTATTTTTTTTTAAATATAAACCATTTTCTTAGAAAAAAAAGAAAGATCTGAAAATTCAATTTTTGGGCCCGAGCATGCGTGACTTTTTTTTAGGCTCATACCAAGATTTGAACTAAGTAGGGTTTTATTTGGGATTTAAATTTCTGGATACCAATATTATATAAGATGGGTATTCGTTTTACGTTGCCAAAGCGCTAATAATTAAATGAGCATCAAAAAAATTTTATTCAATTTTACAAGGAGTTTTGCATTATCAGGGGCTCAAATTTTTCCTAAATTAATGAAATTATCATTTTAACCAAAAATATTGTTCACAAGAAACTAAAATAAAGCAAAGCCTAATTTAATTAAAATTAATTAAATTAATGAATAAACATAGAAAAAAGGTTTAGATGATTCTAGCATGGGGATGGAAGGTTTCGAAGTCAATGGTGAGACTTATTATGCTGGGGATTTTGTTTATCTGGAACCCAGGTTAGTCCTAATCTTATTCATTTTATGCTATATTATTTATAATGGTCTAAAAAATATGCTTTTTAATCTTGGGAAGAATATAATTTTTAGGAACCTATATATTGGAAAATTAGTGTCTAGTTTTAACTGATTTATGATCTTAGTAATAAATTAGTTTGAAAATTAATTATTTTTCACGTTTCATTTTTTGTTAACTATTGATCTTTTTCTTAACGGTGTTTTAGTGATTAATATAATAGCATTATGTCTTCTCTTCGCAATCGTTGAACCCAAAACTACTTATTGTTATTAAATAAATTTAAAAACTTTTATAACCTTTAAAAATCCGGAAAGTGTTACTAGTTTTATAAAATAAATTTATGAAAATAGATTTTGAAACCAATTTAACTAACGACTTGATATAATATCTTTATAGTGAAAAGAGTATTCCTGATCCTCATATATTGTGCGTTCAACAATTTTCGAAGGATCCCGAAACTGGCTTGCTTAATGTTCAAGGTTGTTGGTTTTACAGGCCTTACGAAACTTTTCACCCTGCCGGCAAAAGATTTTATAATCAGGTTATAAGAACCTAAATATTAGGATAGGTTTATTTTTAAAAAATATATAGTGAGATAATTAGTCTGAGAGGCGAAAAAAAGAGAGAAAGAATGACACTACATCACGGATTTTGGAATTACTATTTTTTAATTCAAATTTTATTAATAAATTTCTTTTATGGGGGGGGGGGGGGTAAATAATTTATTAATAATATGAAAAATTATAATTATTTCTTTATAAATGATTTTAAAGAATTAAATTTGCATGACATTTATTTGTAAACCTTTTTTTCACCTTTTTTCCCCCTTCCCATATATTGTAAAGGAAGTTTTCAAAAGCGATTATTATGACAAATTGGATGCCCATAAAATATTGGGTAAATGTCTTGTGATGTTCTTCAAGGATTACGTCAAATATAAACCTATGGTAACAGTTTTTATAAATTGGTTTAAAATTAGGTGGGGTTTTCCGAAAAACAAATCATTTTGTTTTGCTTTTGAATAATCAAGAAGAGCCCTGTCAGGAAAATTATTCTTATAAACTATGCTATTCGTTTTTTAAATCAAAATAAATGCGCATGTATTATTAAGTTTTAATCCCTTGTTTATAATTTTATTATGATTTCGATTCATTTCTTTTTTGCTTCATTTATTGATTTTTGTTTTTTTTAAACTTCAATTATTCATATTTTTTTCGATATTCTAGGAATTTGAATCCAAGAACGTCTATGTCTGCGAATCCAGATATTTTACTAAAATTAAAGCTTTCAAGAAAATTAAAGTAAACAAATCTTATAATATTTCATAATAATATTATTTTTAAATACAAGATCGGTTAGGTGGGGGGGGGGGGGATCCTGAATACCGAACCTAATCAAATGCAAATTTTTAGCGTATTGAGTAAGCCCTGCACCATCTTAATCATTCATTTTATATGCGAACCTTAAAAAAACGATTTTTTTTTTAAATTAGATATGAATAATATTTTGCAATTCATTAGAGATTATTTATTTTTTTTTAAAAAAAAAGAAAGGTTTAGCATTTCTGGCTACATTGTTTTTCCTATAATCTGTTACTGTTATTTTTCAAAAATTCTTACGTATAAAAGATGGAAGAAAGAAAGAAAGAATTCATTATTATAAAAATAAGATTTACATTGCTGCTTTTTAAGATAATCAGAACCGAACCCGCTTAACCACTAACCCTTATTCTCGGATTGAACCCTTTTAAAATTAAAACTCAAACTCGTTATATATATTTTTTAAAACGCCTCAATCTTTACTAAAAAAAACCCTTTGAATTACAGTTAAAAGCAATCGCATATGTTTTTTTAAAACAAATCATATATATACTATTATCCTACATCGATTTAGAACCACGGGCTATTAACAAATAATTTTTGAAAGCAAAATTTATTACATCTTAAATACTTTTAATTTATTTAACATTTATAATACATGTATATGGTATAATAGAAAAACAAAACTCTTCAAAAATATTGGCTTTATTAATATTGATCAAAAATCATGAGATATCTATCATATATTAAAAAAGCGGTGCTCAAATCAAAATGGACGCCATGAATGTTTGAGAAATCAAAATATTCTCAATTTAAGGCCCCAATTTAAATCCAATATGTTAAATAAATTAAATTATTTTAAATGTGGCAAATTTTCCTTTATTTGCTTATTTTGTTTAAAGTCTGACGTTCTAATTTGATTATATATAAATACACCATTTTATAAAATTTAATAAAAATAATTAGCATAATATTGGTATGTTGCACCATTTTATTTTTTCACACATTTTAAAGCAGATTTTCTCCATTTAAAACCTTCTTTAAAAAAAAAACAATTAAGATCATATTGTATAAGTAACAGCATAAAGTTTTCGGATCATAACGCATTTAAATATATTTTATTAGCATTGGAACCATATATCAGCCTTCCCTTCCAACGAATCAAATAACAATCACAATAAAATAACTTTTGTCCAACGAGATGCAACTTTAATATTGCCTAAGACTACACCATCGGTTTTTGTAGATAAAACGTATTCCCAATTTTTGGAAGAAAATTCTTATGTTCCCAACTTTCCCGACCCCAATCAGGAAGTTTGTTATTTTTTATTTGATTTGGGTCTTTTTTATTCCTAAAAATTCTTATAAAGAAACATCTTAATAATATAAATAGCTTGAGATTCTTAATTTATGAACAAAGTTATTCGTTTATTAATATTTATTACGCTTTAAAACAATTTTATCACTCTTGAATTTATATTTTAACGCAGAAAGGTTACGCCAACTAAATAAACTAGTATAAATGACCTTACTATAAGTTGGGTAATAGGCCGATTCTGTAAATCCTCAGCGTGTGTTGAAAAATTCCACTAAGTATTAATCAAAAGTTTTCCCGTTTTCTAGAAAGACCGGAAGCTTAAGTGATAATAATAATTTTTAAACATAATAAAATTTTACCCTTCTAATTCTTATACATTACATTATAAACTATTTTCAGGAAATACCCCTTACTGAACCACCTACAATTTCGCCCAACAAATCACGTGCCTCACTTGGTATACCTATGCAAAAAGTTTTTTGGCCCATTTATACCAAATGCTCTAGCACCACGCCCTCTCCAATTTCTTATGTTCCTTTGAAATTAGGAGATTATGTGTTAATATCTTATTCATCCGCCAACCGTCAAAACAAGAAAACTAGTACAAATAATTCTTATAACAGCCAAAACGATGCTAAAAGCCCCCAAAATAGTTACATAATAAGGATAGACTCTTTGCGAAAGCCCGAAAATGATCATTACATCTTGAGCGGACAGCTCAAATTTCTTTTTGATCCTTACGTACCCGGAAATTTCACTAAGAACGCCAAAGACGTGTTTTTAACACCTATAGATTTTCAACCGACAATGTTCCTTAACTTGATAGATTCCATGTCACCGACCAAAATGGATAATGATTTTGTGGTAGTGAAAAGGGTTTTCGTTCTGGGGGCTGAAACATTTTCTAAGAGTACGTTAGTTTATTTTTTTTAACCGGAGTAATTTTGACGGATAAAATAACTTGATTACATTTGGTTTGCTCTATCAAAATCAGAATTTGACAAAAATTCTTTGAATTTTTTTTTCAAAAATCAAATTTTTTTTATATTCAGTTTTTTTATTGGTGCCGTGACCAGTTAAAAGATTTTTTATTTAAAAAGTGTCAAAACTTTGATCCAAAACCGACCAACTTTTTCGAAAAAGTGGAGCGGTATATATCGGTTCTGGTTGAGTTTCACTAATTTTATAATCTTTATTAAAAAAATTGAAGGTATTTTTTTATAACGATTAAATTGTATAAAAGAATTTGCAAATGGGTATTTCATAGATTTATTTAAATAAGGTAATTTTAATTCTTTATAAATAAAATTGCCCTATTTTGAAAAAGTGTTTTTCGATTTTTTCCTAAATCAATTATCAATCACCCCCCCCCCTCCATTAATAAATGTTGAACTGAAATCACAGTATTAATTCTTTAATAAATTATTTTATTGAAAAGAATGGCCAACGGAAATCGAAGAGAAAGATATATACGTGTGTAGGTATCGTTTTAGCATGGACGAAGGCAGCGGCGATAATGCTGATAAGCACGTTATCACTCCTTTGATTTATGAAAATTTTTGCCACAAAGTAATATCAAGTTGAGCCCTAATATATTGGATATCGTATGTTAATTATTAAATTAAATATTCATTCGAGAACGATCCACGTGATTAGTTCTCGTTCTAATTAGATAATATTGTAGTAAATAGAAAATCGTTTGGATGGTTGCTTAAATAATTTATTCAAAAACATATCACTATCTGGTTAATTAGTTATTCGATAGGTTTACTTACCACTGGTATTGTTTAAGGTCTCAATTTAAACGATTCAAACAAAATGTTTAAATCACAATTTTAACCTTTCGGCAACATCTCGAGTCGAGGTTTGGGTAATATTTGTTTGACTAAAAGTTGTTTTTTTTATATAGCCAAATCGAATTTTATAACACACCACCTACTATGGTATACTACTTAATAAAAATATAATAACACCCTTATCACATAATGCCCAATTGATACACTTCTCTTTAAATTTTTTTTTTTATTTAAAAATATTTCGAAAAAAGCTCACATTTCAACCTTCTCTTCCACTTCAACTTTTGGACGAGTGGTACCACTTTGACGCCGACGAAATATACAATGAACCAGTTCAATCTCCCGATTCTAATTTACCACAAAATCTTATGCCGAATAACGCGCAGAATACCAATATAGGTTCCAACTCTCATTTGCTTCAGAATTCAACCCTTAGTAGTTTATTGGCCAGAAAAACGATGCCTACGGATATCAGTGAACCAAGCGTTTCCGAGGTATTTTTTGGGAGCGGGGAAAGCGGCGGAAATTTAGGTAAGTTATTCACATTAATATGTTTTATGTAAATGTCTATTTTTGTAAAACTCTATGATCACATTTTTATCCCTCGAGAGGGGAGCGGGTGGTGTTGGACTTACGAGCGGTTATCTTGATTTATATGCGTTTATATTTAATGGAGTAACTAAAAATTTTGAGTTAAAATAGGGTTTTATTTTTTATAAATCGAAAAAAATAATATTTACACCGTTCGAAATTAATCTTGGGAAAAGAAGGGAATTATTTTATTTTGTCTAAATTATAATGATCATCGCATATCTAATAATCTCATTTATTTTGGGGAATAACCTAATCCCTTACACTTTTATTTTACGTTCTTATATTTTTTTGATTACCCGAATTTTGACATGCCTTAATTTTAATTCAGGTGTCAATTTAGGGCCCGCTCCTGATAATTTTGATAACAATGTTTATTCTAACACCAAGCTCGATCTTAAAGAAGAAAAACAAGTCAACGATGGCTCAAATACTATAGGAAATAATTTGAAGAAATTTTGCCTAGATCATTTAGGCCTACTGCTTGATGAAGAAGATTATAAATATGTAAGAGGAAGAGTTAACTATTTTGTATACCAAATAATATTCTGATATTATTATACATTTATTCGTAAATCGGGAGAATTTGTAAGGTTTGAAATGATATCAAAGTTTATTCCACGGAAATTTTTATGCAAAATTTATCTAAGCCTATCCTAGAGATTAAAATATGCCTATAATTTTTTTTTAATATCTCAGATTCAAAAGAAAGCCAAACCAAGTGGATACATTGTTTATTCTGGTGAGAGAAGGCAACTCCTTATGGAGAAATATCCCGAATTGAAATTTGGTGATATTAGGTTTGTGCCAATTATTATATTTAAATTGTGTAAAAAAGTTTAGTTTTATATTTATAGCAAATATACAATTTCGCCCTTCATAATAATATTTATGTAAACAGCATGAGACAATTTTTTAAAAATAAAATATTTATTTAAGTTACATTTAATTTGAATTATTATAAATGGATTTGCATTTATTGACATTATTTTTTCCGCCAAATTCTTCTTTTGATAAAGAAAAGACGCTAATAAATATAAGTGCTTGACAAAATGGCTATCGAACCATTTAACATTGAAGGCCAAAACTTCCCCATCCGTTCATTCATTTGCATTCCCCCCCCCCACCCTCATTTTGGCATAATAAAAAATATTTGAATTCTATTCTGGAAGTTTTTCTATATGTTATTTCATTTTGTAAACCTTAGAGTTATTTGCCCTCACATAGATTTTCTCCAATTGGAATTTTTTTAATAATCTAAACTATGCCTGTCAGAAAGGCCGTATTTTGACCTTTTATATGATTAAACAAAATTTATTAAGTTCCCATCTCTTCTTAATTGACATTATAGAAATGATTAGAAGTATTTTAAGATATTTTGTATAAGGGGGGAGGGGGAGAGTATGTTCATTCAAATGTCATACTTTAAAACTTATAAATTATTAAACAATTAGCTAGATTTGACGAAAAATCATTAAATTTAAGGGTATCTATGTTGTATTTATATCAATTTTTCACATTATGATAATACCCCCCTTTATTTATATAGATCCGTAAAATTTTATTTAGCCACATTATTTCTCTAATAATTTATTTTATAAGCTGTAAAATTTTAAAAAAAAATTGTATTAATTTATTTATAATTGTTAAAATAGCAAACTCATAGGCAATGAATGGAAACTATTAAATGCCGATCAAAAGGCATCGTTTGAAGAAAAAGCCATTGTTTTTGGTGACGAGCTTAGAGCTCTTTTGGAAGACGGGAACAACTTTAATTACGATAACGCATTCAATAATACGAGTGGGCAATATTAATTTATAATTTTCTATATATTAGTTTTAAACCTTGATTTTATTATCATTCCAGCCGTTGTATTGGACTTATAATCATATCCTATAAATTTCTGGCAATTTTGTCTATTCAAAATTTTATGACAAAATTATCTGAAACTCGTAAGGGCATGTACTATACATATGCTTGGAGGTGAAATACAATTCTGGGGTAATCAAGTCTTTCCAAAATTGAATAAAAAACATATACGCCAATAAATGATTTAAATATTAACGATTCCAGTACACCCTACATCAGATATAATTTAATTAAGGTTGCATTTCTATTATATGTATACAAAATGTATCAGCTGGTGGTAATACTCCAAATGACAGGTTAGCTAAACGTATCAAAAAACTAATTCGTCGCAGCCAACAACTTAAAAAGCCTTCCATTTCGTCCTTACCGTTGCTTCATGCTCCATCTTCCTCCAATTCCATGCTTCATACTCCTTCTTCGTCCAATTCGGCCTATCCCGACGGGCCCGATGTAAGTTAACATGATAAAAACTAATTATGTATGCCATATTTCCATAAAACTAGTTTCAATATTTTGGCGATACCTATTCCTTAAAATAAATATTTTATGAAATAGTATTTTACAATATTTTAATATGGATATTTAGCTATAATCAATAGCTTCAAAAAAAAGTATTATGTAAAAGTTAAACATTTAAATTCGGCATAATGTTATCGAACAACATTACGTATATAAGTCCAAAATTTGTGAAAAATATTTTGGGAGACTCCGATCGTGCACCCTTGAACCAAAATTATTTTATTGATTTTTTAAAAAATTTTGATAAAATCGGTTTGAATTTTAAATTATTATCGTATATTCCTGCTCAAAATCAATCATTATAGATTTAGGACACATATTATTTTAACCTTTTTATTTCCTCTAAAACCCTGATATATCGTCGGCTTATTATTATGGTTTTCTATATCCATTTTTAAAAAAAAGAAAAGTTTCTTGTATTTTAAATAGAAGATCACAATGTAATATTTCAAACAAAGGACTATTCCAATTTTAACATTTTTTGTGGATGTATATAAGAATATAGCATTGAGGAATTCATTGAGCAAATAAAATGGATATGGAACTCTAGAATACTCAAGTCGACTATATATTTCTGGCTTATTAGGTCAAAGAGCATAAATGGTTAGTATAGTATATATAGACATGTGCGCCTCCAGTCAAATGCGCCGCCGCCGATGATTTTGACCACGCCGACGCCGCGCGCCAAAGTGTCGGCGCTCAACACGCCGCCGCCGATAAATTCGGCGGCGTGGCGGCGTGATACATATTTTTTATTATTTATTTTATATATTATTTATGAATATAAGAAAAATATTAAATATTTTTTGAATTATTAAAAAATGCGATTTTATTTTTTAAAATTAATAAATATTATTTGCTATAAATTTGATTTGTAACAATCCTTATTCGCTCACTTTGGGCAGGTTTGTGACCAACGTGCTAGATAAAATAAGATTAGGACATTAAATTTGAAAAGGTAAATCTATATTTTATTCTTTTATTTTGATTCAAATAATTTACAACTCGTTATATAAAATTTATTTTTTATCATAATAGAAATTTTATTTAATGATTTTTATTTTGTTGCCATTATAACATATATAAAAATACCAGGACTAAAACAATTATAATGGATGCAGCATTGCAATACCCTGTAACAAAATATAGTATATCCTTGCAAGCAAAACCTTCTTTTGCATGGAAACATTTTGGATCCTTAATATTAAAAACTGACACAAATAATAAGAGAACCAGTGTTGCTACAGATAAAGTCTTTTGTAATATATTCTTGCAAATAGCACTTGATAAAGATGGTGAGGATAAATAATTCTTCATTTTCAGAGTAAATTTTTTGATTATTTTATAAATATTAGTAAATTTTTTAATTAGTTATCCAATCAAATCTTTTTCAAAAAATATCAGCACATCAAATATAATAAAACATTTACTTGACAAACATGATTTATCATGTAAAGAAGAAATATCTAAACAAAATTTAAAGTTATTTTTCAAACCCATTGTAAAAGATACAACTGACCCTTAAAAAGATAAAAAAATGGATTCTGGTAAGGAATTATGTTCTCATGTGTTGCAAGGATTTAATGCCATTCTCCTCTATAAATAATACTGGAATGCAAGATTTTCTAAAGGTTATTTGTAAAATCATTATAATTTTTTATAGGGCAATCTTAATTTTTATTTGTTAAGATATTTAATTATTTTATAACATCCCACATTTAGAATTTTTTATGGCATAATATTTTATTATGTAGAAATATGGCATTATTTCAGATGCCAAAGAATTACCTGACAGAACTACACTTAGCCGGAGTGGATTAGATGATGTTTATTTATCAATGAAAGCATAAATATGCCAACAAATTAATGTAGGTGTAACATTTTGAGGTTTTTTTTAAGGATTGAGAGATTAAAATCGCTGTCAAATAAGAAAGGTTAAAATAACATGATACTAAATCAGACTAATATCCTCGTTAGAACTAAAATGATACTAAATCAGACTAATATCCTCGATTATATATATTTTTCTATAATATTCGTCAAATCAGAAAAGTTAGAACTAAAATGATACTAACTCTTTATTAAATAATAAGTTAAAAATATAATCAAACTAAATTAATTAAAAAAAAATTAAAATAATAAAAAATTAAAATTAAAAATTATAATTAAGTTCGTAAAATCATGATCTCCCTTATACAAATATCCTCGAATATATATATACTTTTCTATAATTGATTTACATAATGTTTTACAAACAAACTGAAAAAAATCTTGAACTTTCTTTAATTTGAATAATCATTCTTTTTTATTCCTCTTTCTTTAAATCATTTGCATTCGAAATTTAATTCTTTTTTCTTGAGTAGATTTGAATATCCTTCGGCTTTGTAATTTGGTTTAACAATTACAACAGTAGGTCCTAAATTTTGTGCTATAACTTTTGATATGTGGACAGACAAATATAGACGGCGAAATTATATCACCTTTACTTTTCACGAAATAGATAATAATTTTAATATTGTATTTTATACATTGGCGACACATCATGTCACCCAAAAACATACCTCTGAAACTATTCTTTCCGAAATAGAAAAAGTTGAAAATGAATTTGATTTAGGGTCCAAGAAAATTCAAATGGTTACGGATGCAGGACCCAATGTAAAAAAAAGTGTTCGTCTAGGAGAATATGACCATCATTTATGTTTGGGGCATGGATTACATAATCTAGTGACAGTCGATGGAATAAAAAAAGTTAATAAAATTAAGAATCTCATTAAAAAAGTTAGAGAAGTTATAGTTGCCTTAAGATTCAAAACAGCGGATTTTGAAAATATAAACGATATAGAAAATAGAAAATGTTTTGAATCGATATCATATACATCGCAAATTTTAGATTTGGATGATAATGATCCTTTTTATGAAGATCGTTTGGGGTATGATGATGATAGTGAAAATCAAAAATCATATGAGAAAAAACATAAAACCTTAAAATTAAATGTGCTTACACGTTGGCATAGTATTTTAATAATGCTGGAAAGTGTGACTGGCAATAACAAAAATCCTATAAATATTCTATTAAATAGAATGGAGAAACCGGATCTCAAATTATTTAACTCCGATTGGGACTTGGTGTATGAACTTTTAAATTTTCTTAAAACCTTCAAACAAACTGTTGAATTTTTATCTGTCCAAAAAGGAGTTACTATAAATTTAGCCTTATTATTTCGTAGTGAAATTAAAAATCATTTAATTGTAAAAGAAAATGATAGTCCACCCATAGCATTCCTTAAACAAAATATGCTTACTAAATTTGATCATAGATTTCCAATAACCGATCTTCAGGTAGTATTTTAAAATACATAAATTATTTTTTATACATTATTCTTTCTTTTATTTTTTTTACTTAGGTGTTAGGAGCACTTTTGGATCCGCGTTTTCAATCAATAAACATAGTAAATGAATATTTAAAGGAAAAAAATATTACTCCGGTTGAATTTTTATGTCAACACGCTACCTCTCTACGGTCTTACACGGACGAATTAAACGAATGTAAAACGACGGAAGTTGCTTCAAAACTCGATTAACTTAAGTCATTGGCTACGAAGCATTCATCTATTCAAAACAATAACCTGGAACAACAACACTATTTAACTAGTTTAGAAAAAGAGTGTTATTCATTATTTCCGCCTTATAATTTGGAGATAAAAGATGTCTTAGATTTTTTGAAGATAAGAGCATTGGATCTTCCTAAACTTTCAATATTAGCTAGAAAGGTCCTGTGCGTTCCAGCTACAAGCACACCCAGCGAGCGTGTATTTTCTATAGCTGGGCTCACTAGGAACTCTAAAAGATCATTATTATGTCCTTTAAATCTTAATAAAATAATATTTATTCATGATAATTATAACTTAATAAAATCATTAAATTATAGTTATAAACATAATAAAGTATAAATTTTATTTTAAAAGTGTTTCCAATGAATTTATAAATTTACTTAAAAAAATTTAAGTTAGAAAAATATTTGACGCCGCCTGATTTTTGTGGCGGCGTCTAAATCGATTCGCCGCCGCCAGCCGATCATTTTAAAAAAAGAAACGCCGCCGCCGAAAATGCTGTCGGCGTACATGTCTAAGTATATAACTATTATAGTTGAAAACATGATTTGTCCAAAGTTAACACAAGAAGTGTATTAAGTGTCAGTGTACCAGTAATTCTTTTCTGTCATCAAGGTCAGATTCTGAGCGCTAGAAAATTTATGTAGTTGTAAATCCCTACTATCCGATTGAAGAATATTCATCCAGAATTAGTTGTTATTATAGCTACCTTGAAACATCAGAATTGTTGGCATGAATAGATAAGGGTAAGAGATAGAACGATCTAGCTCGTTGAATGGTAGGCTTTATTAGTGAGATAGATGGAAGTGTTTCATAAATGGATAAAGGCTTCTCTGCTATTGCCATGTTCACTATTTTTTAAGGATTCTCTATCTGTATAGCATTATTGAAGTTTTAAAATTTATTTGAGGAACATAGGTCTGCTATTTCTGTGTTCACTTATTCTTTATCTTTATAGCATGATTATATGTTTTAAAATTATTTCTAAGCCATAATTATTTATTTTTGATTTTTATAGCTAATAATGGCGATTTCAAATATTTGGTTTTAAAATATACGACCCGGTCCGGATATTTTTTAAAAAAATTTCAGGCCCGGCCCGGGCTTATTTAAAAAAATTTAAAATACTACCCGGGCCTGCTGGTCTCTGGTTTTTGAGGTGTCATCACCAAAATTATTCAGATATTTTTCTATCTCTATGAAATTTTTGGCATAAACATACTTAAAAAATAAAAATACTATTAGAATTTAAAGATAAAAATTAGCTTTAGGTGTTTCTTAAGGTTATAACTGCTAGGTTTATTTGAGGATTTAATATTCCTACATTTTAAACAGATAAATTTAGTCGACTTATGTAGTTGAAAATATTTTTCAGAAGGGAAAGGAAAATTGCTATTATTGTTAACAAAACTTTCATATTCTTCAAGTGTAACTTCCACTTCTTTAATATTATCAATGTCTGACTCATATACGATATCCATTTGCGTAGACATATTAAATGGGAACCCAACTATTTATGTTGCTGATGTCTCTCCTTATTATGATATGGCTAAATGTGTTTCAGACCTGGTCGGATCTATTTTTTAAATATAAGATCGGTTCGATAGGGCATTTTTTAGAAATTTCGAGCCGATCGGGTCGGGCAATTTTCAAATATGATATCATGACATTTTATTAAATAAATAGATATTTATTAAAATTCTTGTAAACAAGACGCTAATATATTTTTTTTACAATAAAAAAAACATTAAATTTTTCTTTATTTAAACAAAATCGGGCCGGGCATAGCGGACAAATAGTTTTTATTTTGGGTCGGATTTTCGGGGCAAATTTTAAAAAAATTGGTTCAGGTTGGTCCGGGCTTGAAAAATTAGGCCCAAAGCAAATCACTAATTTATACACCAGATGGTTTGGGTTTATATTATAAATTTCAAAATTAATTAATAGTTTTCGTGTTCATTTATTATAATTTATATTTTTTTAAAGTAGTGAAGTACCCCACTACTTGTCTACTTTCAACAAATACATAACGCACTAACACAATGATTTTGGCAAAATGGCGTTAACTTATGGCTAATTGTTTTACTAAATTTCTGCCACCATTTTCTTTCTTCTTAATAACGATCTCAAAAATTTGGATATTTCCGATTTTATAAAAAATAAATTAACTCTTATACATAGAATGTTTTTGAATAAATAGTAACCTTAAAGGGCCATTAATTGATTGAATTTATAAAATTTTGTCAAAAAATAATTAGTAGACGATAGTTAATTTAACAAAAAATTTATAATAAATAAATTAACATGAGCTAACATTTTTTGTGATCTTACCATATTGGACGTTATTACGTGTGCCGTGACAATTTTTAAAATATTTATATTCTTGTAATTTATAAAAAAAAAAGAAGTTATAATTAAATTTTTTTCATAAATTAATATTATATTTTAAGAGATTATTAATAATTTTTGAATTTAAATCTAGGCTAAAAAAATCAAAGGTGGTCGAAAATCAATGAGTTGGAAATCTTATATTGTGGATAGTGAAGGGGGCTCTTTGTAAAAATATCTTTGGAGTAGGATGTGATTCCATCTCCGCCGCGTCAATTCTAATAATTCAATTTTTTTACAAAAATTTTAAAATATAAGTAAAAATGCCAAGATTTGTAATTATTGGCAGAGATCGTGATTTTTGAAAGATTGAAATTCAATATTTTCATTTATTTCTCTAAAATTCACAACAAACGACAGTACTCAAGTAATGGTAGCGGGTTTTACGCTTGTATGTGGGCTGATTGCGACATAAGATTTGAACATTTACAGGATTTGGTTGACCATGTTACTCTACAAACCGATCACGTTAAATCTATTGGTAAATTTTATAAAATATTAATTATAACGCATCATCAACAAAATAATTAAATTGCGAAGAAAATTCCTTTCCATTTTAGATTTTTTTTAATGAAAATATAGTATTTCCATTCTCAATATGATTAAAGGAATATTAAATTGCGAAGAAAATTCCTTTCCATTTTAGATTTTTATTACCTTTTTTTGATGAGATCAGATGGGGAATACACTTGTAATTGGTCTGATTGCTGGAAAAATGGTAAAGATAAGGAACCTAAACCATTCTCAACACAGGGAAGGTTGATCAAGCATTTGAAGGACAGCCATTTTAAAAATTATCTTATCAATTACGGAACTCTTGACAAGAATAACAAGTATGCAATTATTTTTTATTTACTAAAAAATTATTTAGAATAATATAAAACTAGAACTTAATTAGAGCCATTGAGCGTTTCCATGTCAATTAAAACAATTTCTAAATTTATTAATATTGAGACGCTTCAATTAAACCCTAGTGATAAGAAAATTGACTAGAGAGAAAATTTATTTTTGATATTTTTGAACTAGTTTTAAACATTCTTCATTTTTTTTTTAAATACTCATCATTTTGGAGATTTTAAAAGTAGTTACTCATCACTATAGTTGGGTAATTATTATATTTTTAGCTGACAATAAATCGGCTAAATCTAGTTTTTAGCCGAAAACTATCAATTTGACCTCTAGGTTTTTGTTAGTAAGATTACAGCTCAAATTTGAAAGAAACTTATATAAATTTAAACGCCTTAATGTTAATGAGTTTTCTCCGAGGCGCTTGAAAATTGAGCCGAATAGCCATTACCCAACTATACTCATCACTACCTACTTTTTAGGAGAAATGTATCAAGCGTTCGTCTCTTCCCGTCTTTAATTTATTGGACGGGGCACCCAAACACCCTAACTTTCATAAAATATAACTTTTCTTTTAAATTATTCAAATCGCTTATTTTTCGAAAAATGTAACAAGTAACGTGAGAAACCTGTTACATTTTTTAGTGATGTAACTGAAAGTAACACTTTAATAACACCATAAAATTACGAACTAGAAACCTTTCCATTGGCAATACGACGGTCGGTAATTTATTCAGAACGAAGTCGGGAGGCATTTTAGACGATTACGATTCATCCAACACCTCTTTCTCGCTGTCAGGACTACCCAATTACAATAGCAATAATACGAATAACGCTGGAACGGATGATAATTCCATAGGTTTGAGCTATGATATATCCCTGATTATGAAAGGTTTTTTGTTGATTCTCGGGATTAAAAAAAATATCGAATTTAACCTATATTATTGCCAGATTTATTCTCTTAAATGCATATGGGTTCCATATCTATAAAGTTTATTAATTATTATTAGAATATTAAATATGAAAAACGTTGGAACCTTAAATATTGTTTAGGATCAACCGCTTTCATTAAGCGAGTTACAGGTAGTTTTGGCCTCTATTTACAATTCACTATTTGTTTTTCTTTGTCTGATGATATTTTAAAATTATTATGGATGTAGACAGCGTCTACATGGGGGGGGGGGGGGGGTTAGGTAAAGTTTGCTAATTTTTTCCAAAATGGCTAGAGGTTGTATAAATTTATTGGGGGGTTACTTATTAAATTTATAGATAAAATAGGGCAAAATATATTACTTTTATCATAGACCTATTATAATAATATAATGATATTGATATAACATCGACCAAATTTATATATTGCTTGCAATCATAGTCATTATTTTTCAAATTAAACTTCTGTTTGGATATTTTTCTGATATTTTTTTAAATGTAATTTAAAAGGGTTGGACATTCTATTAGCAAACTCATATTCATGCCAAACAATATACTATAATAATGCATTGCATTCATTGCAGATGAGGGTTTTTTTTAATTATTCTTGTTTTAAATTGCAACTCTCTTACATTCACTCTTTGTGTAGTTGGAAATAGAGTATTTATAATTTTTAAATATATGAAGGGAGTATCATTATATTTAACAACGTGTAATTCATGACTGCGACGAAAATATTTTTTTGTTTTGGGGAAGTGGGGTGGGGTAGGTATTAGTTTTACTTAAAATGGCCTGATTAAGATTTTAGTCAAAATAATATTATATCAGCCTGAAGAATTTGCTCATAAAGGGCAAAATGGTTTGGATCTCTATTTGCCAAATCTTGAGGCTTTTATATTATTTGGCTAAAATCTTAATCTGCACGTTTAATAACACTAGGTAGATATAGGAATTTGAGGGGGGGGGGGGGTTGTTTTCTAAATATCCTGTCATAGACATTGCGTATAAAAGAGGTAAAAAAAATATAACACTTGCTATATTTGAGAAACATTTATTGGTATGTTTTCTTACGCTACATCAATTTATAAGTCGCTTAAACGAAGAAAACTATAGTCATTTATTTAATTATACAATGTATTTAATTAAAGAAGAAGCATCCAATAACAATCAGTCATATTTCATAACATCCCGTGACAGACCCACCATATTCCCTACGGCTTTCAATACCGACAACTCGGTCATGTTCTCCAAGTTTGGACTTAACAACAACCAAACAATTAATCCCTCGCTGATTACCAATCAAATTCACTTTTCGAGTTCGTATTTTTTTTTTTTTCATGCATTATTTTTTAAAAATATATGTGTATATTTATAAAGGATTGAATTCAATTGATACATCGTCTATAAACTTCTTTTTGATATTTAAATCTTTTTAACAGTTAATTATTTCATAGATGTCTCATTTATCCATAAAACACGCCTTAAAAATTTTAAAGCTCAAACAAGGCCAGAATTTAATAATCAATTTAGAAATGATAATCAAGTCAAGTTCCAAAATATAATGGCAGCTCAGAGATTATCTTCCGGAAATTTACCTGCTTATATGATGAACAACAATCAATTTAAGAACAATGAATCTGGTCATAGAATTAATCAAAACATTAATAATAATGCTATTAGATTGACTAAGCCTCTTTTTGTGGTTCCACCACCTTCCTACAAAAATACATTGAAGCATTCTGACGTATACATCCAGTATGAAAATATGTTTATGTTTTTTTTTAAATATCGAGAAAGATAGAGAGTCTAATCAAAATAAGACACTATTAGATTCTTACTTTTGATACATTTTTCTAAATTTATTACTTGGTATTTATAGTAGCTCGCTATTTATTTTAAAGAATATTTAACTTGTGTATATTGTTCTTGTCTAACTAGCATCTGTTTTGTGAATTTTGAATCTTTATAATATAGGAATATAATGCATATTCATTATGATTATACTTCCCTTTCATAGGTATATTGAACGAATGACTCAAAAAACGACCCCCAATATTAATAGAAAATCGCCGGATCTCTCGGCTTACGATGATTGGGTTAAATTCGAGAAGCCTTCTCTCATTAATCCCAATCCTGAACAAAAAGAGGAAAATGAAAGGATGGTTAAAAAAGCTAGGCTGAAAGCTCTAACCCTACTTAAAGATCACATGTTATTTGACGCCATAAGGATAGATAATTGGTTTAATAATGTTAAATACTCTTTATATTAGAATTTATTTTCTTTCTTCTAAAGAGTAGGTGAGAAAGATAATAATTTCTTAAAAAAGTGATATTAATCTAATCCTTTATAGGATATTAATTTTAATCTAAATAAATGAATTAAGTTTATTAAGAGGAAAATATTACTTTAAGCAATTTATTATTTCTTAGGGTGTAAAAGCATTCAAAAATATTATAAAACATTGAAGTGTAAATATATTATTTATATAATTAAAAAGAAATGATAAAAAAACATATAATTTTTTTCCTGTTTAATTAGGATGTCGGAATCAAATTAGAAATGAACAATTCTAGCTTTTATTCCATGTTTTAATTAGTAAAAATTTTTAGATTATATTCCAATATTAAATGGGTTTTTTGTAAAATATTTCATGTACAATATGTTATTCTAATTTTTGTTGTATATATATTATTAGATGGAATATCAATATATTATTTTTAGTTTGTTCATAAATTAAAAAATATATGTCAATATGTTATTCCTATTTTCTTGTGTATATTTATTATTAGATGTAATATATTTTATATTTTTAGTTTTTGTTTATAAATTAAATAAAAACTATATTAGTCAAAATTACACTTACTGTTTAAAATTCATTATTGGTGATATGAATATTCCCTCAAAAGATAATCAAATTTTTTTAAATTATAGACTACCTTAAAAAGGGAGATTTTTTTAATAAATAGCAAAGGAAAATAAAATTAATAAATGGCAATATACATGGAAATTAGTTTTAAATAATTTGTTCTGAGCAAAAATTTAGTAAACTTTATATTTAGAATCCCCATTAAATCTTACAATTTAATGGTGTGAACATAACTTCAGTATACACAATTTTTTAGTAATAAATTTATATAATGATACTTATTTTAATTGCAACTTTAAAAAAAAAATTATTCTATTAAACGAATAGAAAATGAGAAGTTCTCATCTCATTTTCTATTCGTTTAATAGAAGAATTAAGCCAGGTTAAGGGTTATAAGAAAATTAGGATTTACAAAATTTAGGGTAAAATATTAACATCTGTTTTTTTTAATTTATTTTGTTCTATTTAGTATTCTCCAAAATATAATTTATTATCAGTTAAATTAGAATAATTGAAAATTATATTGATTTTAATAATTAAATTTAAGCGACACAGTCAACATGGACCATGCAAAAATAATAAAAGGATTGAACATACAATTAGGATTTGGAAGTGTTAGTCTTCCATATAAAATACGGAAATTTGGTTTGACTCCCTAAATTTTTAAACCTTTTTGTTTAAAATTTGATATTTATACAAGGAGAGGGGAGGAATGGGAAACGAAATTGTTTTTATGAATCCCGGAAAACCCATGGAGTTTTTTTTCTTCATATTTATAGAAGACATAATAAAATAGGTATATTTTTATTTGGATTATAATGGATATACTCATATTTATAAGGTATATAGGCAAATTAGTGTTTTAGAAAAAAATATAATTTATTAATAAGCTAAATTTTTGTAGGCCCTAATTCATTATTTAGAGATTACTCATATACCCTACTTAAAAAATACAAAATCCATCCTTTACGATATTAAATTTGACAAAATTTTGTATTAAGATATATTTATTTTAACTAGATCTGGGTATTGTAACTTTACGATTTTGTTTCGTGTTCAACTAACTACACGCCATCGTTCAAGAGTGGTTTCATCGGTAGCCACCTGGCATTTTATTTTTTAAATCAATACCCACATTGATGGGTGCTTATTCCCAACAGATGTACGCTCTACGTCGGATAGAGTGCTCTGATTCACGTTCAAGTTTCTGGAAAGTCGAGGCTCAATTTGACGTATCTGGGATTGAGAATTGCTTCATGTGACCTCCTTTGATACTCCATTGATATAATTTTTATCGAAATAATCAAAAATATCCTTACCATTGCTCGAAATAACCCATCTCAGGAATGTCATTGCATAGCTCATTCATATCACATAAAGGAAGAAATGATAAACCATCTTTCATGACCAAAAGAAGCTTGAAGTTTTATTGGTCCTGTATTGGCTTTCTAGACCTAGCTTCTGAATTTTTCTATGGGTACTTTGATACAAATGATAAAAGCATACTCTTATTTTTTTTCCCATGGGTTTTTTTCCGGGGGATTTTTTCCTATTCCTGTTTTTATTTATGTATATTAGCGGCAAGTCTATAATATTGTCAATCACAACAATTTTTTTCACTTTCGTAATCCAATATAAAACCAATAACTAAATTTTAAACTCTGCCTAATGATCTAAGTTAAAGCTAAGTTATGGTTTTAACCCATTTAGGCTCATTATACCCCGTTTGGGGTTTTTTATTCGTTTAAATTTTAAAAATCGCTTGTAAATATGTTCATATTTTTATTGCTATCTCCCAGTGGCGTAGCTACGGGGATGGTTTTCGGGTTTGGACCCCTCCCAGAGCTAAATCTTTTTTCTAGATTATACGTTCAAAAGACTTAAAAGTGACTTTATATCAAATAAATGCCATTAATATTTTTATTTTTCTGGTTGATGTTTGTGGAAGGATATTATATTACTATTGAAATTATTCTGGATGGTATTATTATAAAGTCATTGAGAATAATCTATTAAATTATAATGATATATTATTGATGCATTTAAAAAATATATTTATTATATACTATAGAAGATATATGGTTATGATTTGTAAGATTAACCCGGCCGAAGGCCGGAGGAAAGGGCCGAAGGCCCGTTAAAGGGGGTCTGGGGGCGAAGCCCATCAGGGTTTTATATGTATGGACCCCCTCTAAGAAAAATTCCTAGCTACGCCACTGCTATCTCCTGTTTCATTTAGGTGATGAGAGGGAAAATCCTTTTGCAGAAGCTTTTAATGTAAATATTCACCCAGAATACTATTTAACATCTTAAATTCTGATATATGCTATACGGGGTGTTTTGCATCAAAAGTTAAGCGTATAGTTTTGATAGAAATTAATAACAAAGAAATCCCCAAGGGTTTTATTAATAAATTTTGTAAGTGGCAAACGGAAAGCTCATATATTAAGTGATATCCTCTAAAGGAGGTATAAAACATTGAATTAAAATGGAAACGAATCTTGCTGCCTCGAAATATAATATCTACAGGGAAGAACGGAATGAGTGTGAAATTTCAAGAATGAAAAAAAATTTCCCACCTAATGAAGCTATTCTCAAAATAATTTTTTTTATTTTCATCCATTTTGTTTTATTAAATTTTATCATTAAAACAAATATAGAAGTAAGATAAAATAAAAATTTTATGCTTGTATATGTCATGATTATAATAACGTGAAAAGTGTATCGTGTATAATTATAATTGATATTATGCTATGTATGAATATATCATTATATTATTTGTTTATTATAAATTAGTATATTCGTTAAATAGGTATATTTTATGATTATATATATTTTATGATTGTATATATATTTACGATTAATATATGGATGAAGGTTAACTATAAAACAACCATAGCATCTATTATAATGTGATATCCGGATCTATATATATTGTTATGGATTTATGAAATGTTGTATGAATTATCCCAAATATTATATAGGCTATTAGCGCAGTCATGGTAATAAATGTAAGTATGAATCTAATCTAATTTATTAAATTGGCGACGACGAGATAAAGAACCTGTAATATGAATCTATTAGATATTTATGAAATAAATCATGGGGAATGATTGAAAAATCATAGTAAGCATGAACTATTTCACAAATGTGATATTTGTTTGAGCAATATGAATGTATTGGATATTTCATGAAATCAATAAAGATAAAGATATGATTGTGAATCAGAAATAAGTCAATCGGAAAATTTACAAAATTTGATAAAATGAATAAACCTTGGAAAATATCTTATTAGTTCTGATATTGGATTAATTAGTATAATTGCTGACAAAGAAAAATTGGTTGATGGATGAATTTGCAAAAAAAAGAAAATAATAAAATCATTTATTTTTTGGTACAAATGAAGATGTTAGCGCTGATTAATATTGAATGAAATTGCAGAAGAATGAAGTACATTCACAATACAATTTTTAAAAATGAGTATGATAAAATTATGATTATTAAATGTTTTATAATCATTTGGAAAATAATTCCATGTTATGAATATTTGTAATGATGTGAAATTAATTTTGGAAAATTGATGATCCACTAAAAATTATTATGGGAAATAATATTGTGAAAACATAGATACTAATAATATAGTGACATTTACATGACATTGGGAAAAAGGTAACTAATAAAAAGAACCTGGCTAATTTGGACCTTGGGAAAATGGTTACTGATAAAGAACCTGTCTAATTTGGACATTAAGAAAAAAGTTACTGATAAAAGAACCTGTCTAATTTGGAAATTAGGAAATGGATACTGATAAAGAAACCTGGTTAATTTAAACATAAAGATATAAGGACGTTGAGATTTTAAATCATCACGTGACCTATGCAAAAATATGGGACTTCGGTAGCCAGATTTAACCGCATTTGAGCTAAAGGACTAATGATTGGCACTGTCATGGATATATGTAAGTCTGAATTTAACCTAATTTATTAATTCATTAATCATTATGTTGTGTATTTTTACTTTTAAATAAATTTAATTATTAGCGTTTTTCCGTTTTTAATTTTTAAAAAATATATTTTTAATCGCCATTTTCTGAAATATTTTTTTATAATTAAGAACCCTATAAAAGGGGAGAGAAATATATTTGTATTTATTATATATTTTTTTTATGTTTCTTATATCTTAGTGAAAGTGAATCTAATTATCAATAGTGTTTAATTTTTTTTATGATTTAATTGCATCACAATATTTAATAGTTTTATTGGGTTAAAATTTGGAAAAAATAAATTTGTCTTCAAATAAACGGTTTAAATAATATATTTTTTTTGTTGCAAACAACTTTTGTTCACTCTTTTAAGAATTTGGTTTTAACCAGTTTATAAATGCTACTTCTAATGAGGATAAAATAATATATGTTGTAAAACCATTTATAAATTTTACTGAGAAAAAGTGTAATAAGCAACATATCTTTCACTCATAAGAAAAAACATTAAAACAATACGTTGAATGGTGATAAAACCTGAAGCATAACAATTTCGCTTATTAAATCGGAGATATTTTTATAATTTCATCATTAGAACCTCCCTATTTTATTTAAATGTGTTTTTTCTAAAAACAAAAATTAAATTTATTTATTCTATTTAATGCCATAAACAGCTTAAACATAATTGCCAATTTTTAAACGTAGCCTGGATGGAATTTGCTAGGGTGGCGAAAAACTCGATTAGGTTAGTTTTTCTTATAAATTTTATCGAAGATCTATAAGATCACCGACTCCTTTAAAACCGCAAGATTTTGGGCCGATTTTTAAAAATGGATGGTTTAAGATTTTAGCCAAAATTATATCACGTAAGCCTAGTGATTTTTCTTGCAGGTGGCAGAAAGGTTTGGACCTTTATTTGCTAAATTTTGTGGATTACATTTTTTTTATTTTGGCTAAAATCTTAATCTAGCCGTTTTTAAAAATCAGGCTGTGTAACAACAATATAGCTATATAACATTGATTTTTACTCTTTACCTATTTTTCTTATATAATAACACCTTTTCTAAAAATTTTGAACTATAGTAATTATCTTAAAATATTGGCCTTTCTTATTTTTCTTTTAGATAAGATACAACTGTTTAAATTTTGATAGAGAGGGAGATTAATCTTAAAACATATTTAGGTGAACATGCAGATTTCCTTAAAGGAGTGGATTTCTTTTTGTTTCCCTCCACTAGTTACATCCATGTGTCAGTATATGATTTTGAAAAATAACTTTTAAATTTGTTTACGCGATACGTGATATAGAACGTTTACGCCCTCTATTTGTGGATACAACAGAGCTACGTTAGGTTTTCCTCAATATCCATCTAACTGGACAAATTAAAAGGGGATAAAAATGAGGAGCCCTTCACACGTTTGTGGGCAAGCCGCACGTACTTGCACGCGTAATAGTCCAAGGACTATTACTTAAACGTCTATGGGCTGATGTGGAAAGGACAAAATAAGCACAGCCCACACCCATAAGATTCTTATATACATAATAAATCTTTACTTATATTTTTATTCGATAAAAAGCAATATACTTGCAATATGTTCAAAAAGTACTTTTAAATTTAAAACTTTTATACATGCATATAGATTTGATGAAAAAGAAATGGTATCAGGAGTATCACAAATTAAAAGCTCTGTTCAACGAAATATAAGAGCAAAACTATTAGAAAATTACCCGATCGAAGAATATATTGATGATATTATTCCTAAAAAAGAGGGAATAAAAATTGTAAAATGGTATAAATATATGTATTTTATCCTCTAACATTATTTAAGCCATGAACATATTGAGATTATAGCAAATACAGCTGGAGACTTATTATTTTTCCATGATAAATCAGATATTTACATACCAACTTTAAAGCTTTTGCATAAATGTAATTTTGCCATATATTACTTTAAAAATAATTTAATATTATTAACAAGATCCATTTATGTTACCTCATCAGACTGTTGATAAAGGTGCTATCAGATTTATACTAAGTGGAGCTCATATAATGTGCCCAGGTTTAAATTCAAGTGGTGCCATTTTAAACAAAGCTCATGAGGGAATGATTGTCATATCCTTTTTTCTAAACTGAATATTATTAAATTATAAATATAGATGTTAATTAATGATTGAGGTACCCATGATTCCTCTCCAAGTGAGAATATATAGGATCTTTATTGTATTTATTTATTAATGAGTATGTAATTAAACTTATAGATTTAGTATTCATATAAATTTGATTATAGGATAGGCCAGTTTTCATGTGTCTATGATGAACTGGCAGGCTGACAATATTTTAAACATTAAACAGGAATTAAAAATATTTATAAAACAATGGGTGGGCAAATAAATCTAAAGAAATTTTTTTATTAAAATTATTCTATAATATTGCTTATTATATATTAAAATAGATAAATAGCCAAACCAACCGATTTAAACATTGAACAGATGTATTGATTGGTTAAACCTCCATCCATTTCCAACCTATACATTTTTGAAAAAATGAATACTTAAATCTTTTACTTTAATTTGGACAAATATTGTCTTTACTAATGCCTCACAAATTCAATTTTTTTGATCCAATCCTAACCCAGATTTTTTATTAATTTTTGCTTCAAGCCTAACCCCCAATTTTTATTTGGCAAATATAGGTTAAATGCATTTTTATGAAGATAATTAAAGTAAAAATAACTAATTTTTATGTCCTTATCTCAGATAATTCTAATTATCATTTTGATATAACAGGAGAAATATTCATGTTCTGTTATTTTTTTAGGTTCAATTCTAAATATTTTAAAATTTTGAAGTCTGAGCTTGGCTTTGAGTTGAGTTATAGTACTACCTGGACCATTAAGATTTTTTTAAAAATAACCCAGGCTAGGACTAAAAATATTTTTTATACAAAGCCCAAAGCCATTTAAAGAAAATCATAAATTATATCAAATTAATCAGCTTATAGAATAAAAATTTGGATTGAGCCAAAAAAAAATTCCAGACTAAGTTTAAAAATGAAAAAAAATTTAAATCTGGGCCAGGACTGAAATATTTATCTCTATGGGTCTCTGATTAAAAATATGGAACAACAATATAATATGATTTAAAAGGAGGTCAGGTTATGCTTAGGCAAAATAAATTTTTTGGGTCAGGCCAAAACTTGTGCAAAAATTTTTACAGGATATGCCAAAATTTTGTTTTTTTAAGATTTGATTTAGGTAAATTAATGTCGTTTTCCTTAGGAAAAAAAAATTATTACAGGCTGGGCTAAACAACTTGTACAAAATATTTATATGGGCTATTCCAAAATTATTTTACTCTTTTATAATATAAAAATTAGGCAAATTTATGTCGTTTTCCTTTGCAAAAAATTTTACAGACTTGGACAACTTGTTCATAATATTCATATGGACTATGCCAAAATTTTTCATTTTTAGCATTAGAATTATGCAAATTTTTGTCTTTTTTATTTGCAATAAATTTATTACAGAATAGGCTGGACAATTTGAACAAAATATTTATATGACACTATACCAAAATTTCGCTTTTTTAAGATTAAGAACTAATCAAATTTATATCGATTTTATTTGCAAAAAATATTACAGATTGGGGTTGGATCTTATACAAAATTATTTTACAGATAGACTAAAAAAAACCTTTACCTGTAATTTTTAAAATACAAATAATTAAAATTTTAATTACATATTTTTATAATTTTATACACTATATTATGTATGTGTATACATATAGTAAATTCATTTTAAAATATAGACTATGTCGATATTAAATATTGAATTGGATCCTATATTTATCGTTTAAAAAAAATGATTTTCAAAAAAATCCGATCTAATAATTGTTTTTGGTTATATATAAATATTTTTTTTATATGTAAATTCTTTTATTTATCTTAAAATAGCAATTAAAATAACATTTGAAAAAATAATTAAAACAGCATTCAAAATAAAAAAAACATGGGGGGGGGCAAAAAAGTGGCTTCATTGAAATCCGAGGAAACTAAATTAGTTTCCTCAAAATATAGCGATTTGATTCGATTATCATTTTAAAAGAGGATCCTTGATCACCATTAATTTGAGAAATTTTTTAACCTAAAATCTTAAAAATAGTTTAGGGGGCCTAGGGACCCAGTGGTGGAAATAACTATTGGGATAAAGTGAAAATCAGTTCTCATTTTTGACCTTTCAGCTGTAATAATCGTATCAATATATGGGTTAGAGGAAAATTAAGAAACAAAACTAAGTTCCCAAATAATGTTTTCCTCTTAACCAAGGAATGGTAGAGAGCCCATCTGGTATTTTCCCATCAGACCGTGGACGGGTTCCAGAAGGTTACATCATAATTAAAGAGTTATTAGCTCTATGGCGACTGAACCGTCTTTTGGAATATAAACAGTTTAGTTCATGTCGGCCCTTAGAATCAGAGTCTTTCTCGCGCCCTTTTCATTTATGGGGTAATAAATGAATAAAAGGAACCAAAATTTAAATTATTAGTAATTTGTATATTGTGAGATCTAAAAAAAATTTGTTATATATTCAATATTATTTTTATCATCATAATCGCATATACCTTCAAAAAATTTGAAAACACAAGATGTTCTTATTTTCTAAAGGGTTTTTTAATGTTGAGTTTAAAGATGATGAAATATATATAAGCTAGTCTATGGATTAGTTTATCCTTAATTATTGTGTTCATCTCTAGTATCAACCACGTCCAATTTTCTTTAAAAAACAAACATAAAACATTCCTTATATATGTCAAAATCAAATTTAAATATTTCCGGGGCTTGTTACCAATATCTATCTCAAGCTCCCCTCCTCCTCCTCCCATCTTTGTTTTCGCCTTCTCTAAATTAAACTATATGTGATTACCAATAAGATGACATCTTTTAAAATTTTAAATAAATGAATGAAAGAAGTTAAAGAGTATAAAAATTTTGATTATATCCATTTTGTTTATTCAAATTATAAATATGATAATAATATTAGTTATATTCATTATTTTAAATTATAAATTAATTATTTTATCCAATGTAGCTATTTTGTAACTATAACAACTCGAAAAAAAGGCAATATTAATTAGCTAATTTTTTTTATAAGCGTCACTAACTACTTTAACAGCATTGCTTCCTAGCCTCCCTCCTTTCACACATATCCCGTCCACTTTTTTTTATATTTTGAAGTTATCATGAGATATTGAATTGACTATAGACTCATCAGCAGTGGCGTAGCTACGGGGGGGGGGGGGGGGAGGTTTCGGGTTTGCACCTCCCCCCACCCAGAGTAAACTTTTTTTAGATGATACGAAAAGACTCAAAGACTTTATATCAAATAAATACCATAAATATTTATATTTTTTTTGGTTTGATGTTTGTGGAAGGATATTATATTACTATTGAAATTATTCTGGATAGTATTATTATAAAGTCATTGAGAATATTTTTTTTGGCTAAAATATTGAGTTAGCTGTTTATAAAATCGGGTAAAATCGAGCCTTTTAACAACACTAATTAAAATGATCAATAATTCTAGGACTTTTATATTATAAGAAAAACAAATATGATCTTCCGGCCAAAAGGGCCGAAGACCCGTTAGAAGAGGTCTTGGGGGCGAAGCCCCCAGGTTTTTATATGTATGGACCCCCTCTAAGGAAAATTCCTTGCTATGCCACTGCTCATCAGCTAATCCCTAGAATGAGCATTACAAATATTGAGGAATATATCCTGAGAATTTCATAAAATTTAAAGAATTTCTTTTTGCCCCATAATAAAAAAATTGGTAAAAAGGTAACTAAGAAAATTATTGATATTTTGAATTGACCAAATTTGAAACTATTCGCCCTTATTATAAACCTGAAAAAGTCATAGACTAACATTTTTGCTTACCTGTCATATAACCCCTGTCTCCCCTATTATTTTTTATACATGGTATACTAAACCTTTATGAATTTTAAAATTTAATTCCGCTCAACCGAACCTAGACTTTTATATGGAAGTTTTTCCCGAACTTGTATATCAAAAGGTGCGAGACTCAGTTATTTTTTGCATAAAAATTTTTGTTATGAAATTGCTTAAAAGATAAAGGGTAAATAACAGAGTTGTTAAAGTAGCGCGCTTACTTTTTTGGTAGCTATAGCAAATAGCGGCTACTTTTTTTGTAACTAATTAATTTTTTAGCGCTTGAAAGTAGCTAAGTAGCCGCTACTTAGCTACTTTAAAAAAATATAATGAATGTAAGTATAAGCACGAAAATTTAAATATAATACCATAATTAATTATAATTTTTATGATTTAATTTTGAAATTGAAATATATTTTCAATTTGTAATTTATATTTTCATTTGTATTATAAACCTAAATCACGTGTTAATAATTTAAAATGTCATCGCCTATGGATATCCAAACCGTTGAAAGCGATTCAGACAATGATATTAATGAAATGGAAGTTACCAAGAGAAGAAAATGTTCTTAATAGCTATAATACAAATTTCCCATTCCCTAGATTTGAATAAATTTTTAAAATAAATATATAACCAAAACTGATTTCAAATTTATTTGTTTAAAATGTAAAAAAAATATTTCCTCAAATCAATCCAGTAGCTATTACCTCAAGAAACACCTAAAGGTAAATTGTCATTTTTACATTCTTATAATATTTATTTTATAAGACTGTTCATGAATTGTAAGGAAATGGAGAAACATCTAAATAATTTTGGTATAGGCGACTCTACATCCAAAAAGACTAATTTAATCCAGAGCAAATTAATCAATAATGCAAACGACAATCTCAGAAATTGGCTGATAAAGTTATTGTTTATTTTATAATTTATACAGTTCAGCCAATGTCCTTAGTTGATAATCCATCATTTACTATGATGATTAAAACTATCCCCCCTGGTACAACAATTTTATGCCGCCAGACACTAATGAATAAAATAGCAGATAACTTTAAAATGATGAAAGATGCTCAAATACAGTTGCGTAGCTACGGGGGTGGTTTTAGGGTTTGGACCCCTCCCAGAGCTAAATCTTTTTTCTAGATTATACGTTCAAAAGACTTAAAAGTGACTTTATATCAAATAAATGCCATTAATATTTATATTTTTCTGGTTTTGATGTTTGTGGAAGGATATTATATTACTATTGAAATTATTCTGGATAGTATTATTATAAAGTCATTGAGAATAATCTATTAAATTATAATAATATATTATTGATGCATTTAAAAAATATATTTATTATATATTATAGAAGATATAGATATGGTTATGATTTGTAAGATTAACCCGGCCGAAGGCCGGAGGAAAGGGCCGAAGGCCCGTTAAAGGGGGTCTGGGGGGCGAAGCCCATCAGGTTTTTATATGTATGGACCCCCTCTAAGAAAAATTCCTAGCTACGCCACTGCTCTAATAGTAGAGTTATCAGAGATATCATATATATATACCACGGGAGATAGTTGAACACATAACAGAAAGTAAAAACTTATTTATATTCATAAATTGATCTGACTAAATATTTTTGAGCTTATTTGGGAATCACAGGCCATTGATTAGACCCTAGAACTTTAAAAAGAAGATCTGTGGCATAAGCCCTCAAAATGATAATAGGATGCCAGACATACGATGTGCTTGCAAATAAAATTATTGATAATCTATCTTTTTTTTTCTTTTCTTTTTTAAATATATTAAAACTTTTAGCGATAGCGGTAGCGCGCTACTTTTAAAAGTAGCGTTTAACAACTCTGGTAAATAAAAATCAATTTGAATATCAGTTATCGGATCGGCTTTTTATGAATATTGGATCGGAACAGCCCTAAAAAATATATATTTTTTTAAATTTGAATGAATATGAAGCCTATCTCTTTTTTTATAATAAATGGTGAACGTAACCCTATTTGATTTTTGCCAATGTTCATGCGAACGAATTCTTTTTTCAAATTCTTACTAAAAAAATTGATCTTAAATATCTTTTGAGTTTTTAATGTTTTTTGATAACAACTATAATTATTATCTTTTTTTGTATAATTCAACTCAAACTTCTATTTTTTGTCCCAATTTAACATTATATGATACGCATTATCTCATTTTAGATTTGATTATGAGAAATGCACCGATACTAAGGACAAATTCATGAGGATCCAGGTAATGAATTTGATAATTAATTGGTCTAGTAATCATTTTTATGAGTGTCCATTTAATATTCATCAATTATTATCATGTTTTTATTTTACCATTTTAAAAATTTGAATATTATAAAAGAAAAAGGAAATGAAGACTAGAAAAAATCCTTCTTTTCTTATCAATTTGATAATTTAAAAAAAGTTAATTCATGAGGTGAAGATTAATTATTATTTATGAGTATTGGACACGGGTATCTGTTAAAATCGTAAATATCGGACGTAGCTTATCGATAGCAATTGGTTCTATGATTTATATTCAATCATTTTGCGTTAAAATATTTATAGCTTGTTTCCTTATTATATGTTTTTTATGTAAATTTGATATTCATCATCCTTATAATTTGACAACCTTAACTCAAATAAAATATCGTCGGAATTACACGCTATCATGGGAGAGGGCAAAGAGCACGCCGTAGCTATAGGATGGATGAAACTCTCATCGGATAAAATGTAAGAAAAAAATGAATTTTTAAATTATTTATAACCATAAAAATGGTGAATACAATAACGGTATTATTCGAATTTTTGAATGTCTAACTATAGTATTCGTAAGCTGCTAATAACGAATGAATGATTTGTTGCTTACTGAATTTAAATTTATAAATTGTACCATTTATTCGGTCAATTCCGTGACGTAACTACGGAGGGGGGGGGGTTCAGATCTATATGGAAAATTAAAATATTTTAAGATTGACTTCATTCTTGTGAAAATTCATATTTTATGCTCATTTTTATGATTAAATTGCAAATTATAAGATCATAAATAATTTTTGTGAGCCATGTTTTAATCGAATCAACCAACAACATTAATTTATTTTATAGGAATCGCCATAAAAAAAACAAAAATAATGATAATACATTAAATTATTTCAACTAAATAACTATTAGTGTCCAGGCAACCTAAATTAGGGTTCTGAAATTTAAAATTGTTTGGGCATTTTGCAACCGCGGTAACTCACTGAATCACGGGGAAATTTTTAACATTATTATTTTTTTTAATTTAAAAATTTTTTTTTATTGTTTGGTCTGGTAGAATGAAGTCATATTTTAATTTTAACAATTTAGCTATAAATTGTCTAATTTGGCATTTTAATAATTTGAGCGATACAATTTTATAAAATTATAATAACTGAAAACAATTATAAGAATATCAATTAAATTATATTTAATTTTATGGGTCATTTAATTTCAACGAATTTAAACCCAACGATTCCCAAATTAAACAAGTGCTTACTTTTATTTTATAAATTAACTTAATAGCTTCATAGAACAGGTTTTGTTTTTATTGTGAAATTAAAGAATTATGAAAATTTTCACAAGTTTTTTTAAATGTACTCCGTTTTATTGTAAAATTAATGAATTATGATAAATATTTCCACCAAAATGCAGATGATCATTTATCTATTATTTTATATAAAAAAATTATATTAAAATAAAAAAAATAATATCAAAAATTTCCCCGTGATTCAGTGAGTAACCGCGACCGCAGACCAAATTAAAACCGGTTTAAGGGCAACCAATCGAACCTGGGGCAATAAGCATTGGGACTGGTCAGGACCTCTTAGAAAATTGGTTTCGATTAAGTTATCTTCCCGCTAAGCATAATTTAAAATTCCTAAACCCACATACGGGTTTTATTGCATTTCGCTTATATTCGTTTGTAAATATAAAATTTTTTTTGTTAAAAGGATTATATTTTATACGTTGATATATTATAAATAAAAATTTAATTCTGATACATCTTTCTTGTTACGCAAAATGTTGGTTTTTATTTAAACTATTTTTCCAAGTTTATCCCATTCTGCCCCTTTCCCCCTCCTTTTAGATCTATTTACGCCACTGATTAGATAGATAATTATTTAATATTAAGTGACTTTTCATATTTTCGAATTCTCTTTTGAACTATTTACATTTTTACAAAAATAGAAATGATAATACATCTGCGTGTGGTTTTATATCTAAACACTATTTCTAAATTTTTTTTAGAAAAGAATTGAATAAAGGCATAGGAATCGAGAACGTTCATTACCTCAACGATGGTTTGTGGAAGATGAAACCCGTTAGATAATCATTAATTACAATTATTTTTATTTAAAGATTGCACTATTTATAATTTTATATGAGTTGTTTTTCCGACAATTATGTTCATATTATCCATATAATTTTTTTTGATGATAAATTATATATATATTTACAATCTAATGTCGAAATGAACACTTGCCTTAAAATCATAGGATTTGTGTCTCGTCTAAAGCTAATAAAATTGTCGCTGATAAAATTAAATAAATTATTGATCTTTTAAACTAAAATTTACAATTTATTTTAAAAATTTATTATGAATCAGTGATACGGAGGGGGCCAGTAATACGAATGATGCTGAGATGTGGGAAGTATGGGTGGTAACCCTGGGTTTGGGTTTATGACCGTATTGATATTTATACTATAGAAGTTATTATTATGGCCATAATTATTGTATATATAATTATAAGGAGGACCATTTTTTATAGCATTAACATCTTCGAAATTGTAGTGGTTGCCTTGCTTGAAATCGTGTTGCAGATGATTGGGTTGTTCGAAGCCTTGCTGACTAGAAGAATATTTTAGAGTTGGATTCGGCAGAAAATCGGCGGTTTTCGCTGAAATCTCATAGTCACATTCGGGTAGATACGGAATGCCGGAGTAAGTTGGTGGAATGTGGGTGTTGTACATGTGAATTGGATTGTGTTTAAGGTCGTAGTTGCACTCAATTACGTTGTTCGTTTTTGTTAATAGGTTGTGATGGTACGGGGTTGCATTAAGGTTGTTGTTAAATTTATCTTTGAAGTTCGCGTTGTTTGTGGGAAGAAATTCATTAAAATATGATATTTTCGAGGGCGGCGCATAATATTCTACCTGGTTTTGCGGGGTTACTATTATATCTTTAAGGCTCCCTATATTTTCTTTCAAATATTTGAAGTATATATTTTCTTGTTGGCAATATAGCATATCCGATTGTTGCACATTTTCGATAAGATTATCCATTGATAGTTTTGACTTGTTTAGATTATTATATTTTTGGTATTCATTGTAATTTATCCGTTTTTCAACTTCGCCAGACAAAGATTTTTTGAAAGCGTCTTTCATTTTTTCATCCACATTTTTAACTTCTTTTGAATTGGATTGATATTGTAAATGACTCCTGTCATTATTGTAATTAGATTCCACGGCTGGAGTTTGTTTATTAAATAATTTCCGCTTGCATTTGTAAAATTTATCTATCATAAGGGATCGATCGGAATTAATACTTTTACCTTTGGATACAAATGCCGCTTTTCTATATTCCTCGCTGTTATTTGTTTCCTCATTTATGTAATTGTTTTTGTTATTTCTTATAATATCGGTTGCCAATGAACCCATCGTCGATTTAACTTTTAGTTCATTTCTTTGATATTTGTTATAAATGCCCTTCATTTTCTTAATCTCTTTCTTATCACTATGCTCCAAATTTTTGTCGTTCTGATCCTCCATCTCATCCGGCCTGCTATATTCTTTCTTAATATTATCTTTACTGTATGCTAACTTCTTGCTACTTTCATTTGTATAGGTCTTGTCTTCGTAATTGAACTGGTGGACGTCACCGTTCCACTTGGGCGCATCACAATAGCAAGATGTATCTTTTTCGCCCAAATCATTATCTGTATTCTCCAACCCACCGTCAAACTTGTAATTACACTTGGCATACTTATAATGATTCGAATAATTACTTGCCACGTCTATATCATTGCTGACGTTATCATAGTAAAAACAAGATGTCTGGTGGGCTTGATTAGCCGCCAAGGCGAAAAAGTCGAATTTGTAAGTGTACCTTTTACCATGAACCTTGGTCATAATTCTTTTATCGTAGTAATATCTTAGGGCTCGAGACATCTTGTCATAATTCATATTTGGCTTAGACTTTCTTTTTCCCCATTTACTGGCCACTTTATCGGGATCTGATAGTTTGAATTCTCCTGGGGAACCGTCTGCTTCCCAGCATATGCAATCAATGTTTCTCGAATCTGCTAGAAGTTCTAATAGAAATTGCCATAATTGTATCTGGCCGGATTGGGTGATTGTATGTTGATGGGGATACCGCGTATTATGAGTGTAAGACAAGTAGTAGGACTTATTGAATTTGGCTTTTAATTTAAATAATATATATTTACTTAAGAGAAAAGATATTTTAAAATATAAATGCATGATTATAATATATATTTCTAAATAACTAAGTTCATCTCTAATGCATTTTATTACTATCCTTATTACATGAATTTATTTCTTAATTATTATTATGAAGATGACTGGAACACATATTAAAAAGAAATAAAATTGTGTTTTGATGGTTAGACTTCTCGAAATGGAGCCAATATCAAGTAAGGTTTAGTTAAGTAAATTATGATTTCATTTGAAAATGAAGTTTGGTTCGTAAAATATAATAATTTCGGTTTGGTTGAAAACTTCTTTATGTATAACAATCTTATTGGAATAATAGGTATATTTTATTTTAAATTTATACAAAAACCCATAAAAAAAACTATTGTTTATTTTATTATTATTTCCCAAAATAGTTTTATCGAAAAACCTGATTTAGCCATTTTTAAAATGACTGAATCAAGAGTTTAGGCAAAAAAAAATTATTTTATTCTCTTTTTAGTGAAATTTTCAGGCTTGTGATATATTTTTTTGGCTGAAATATTGATCTCGATAACATTAGTTATAAAATTTCATAAATTGAAGTATTTATTTTCGATAATATAACTCCCCCATGCAAATTTTATTAAGCCTTATACTAATAAAATAGAAATTATTTTATATTAAATTATATTTATAAGGTGAAAGAATAAATTTCATGTTTGAGAAGACTTCTTCAATACGTTAACTTGGTTGGCTGGTACAGTCAAATAATAAAAATGGCTATTGAAACTTACTAAATTGATTATTATTTAAAACGGTCATGATATCAAAAAGATTCCACCTGGTTTACAAATCTTTTAATGGTTTTATTCAAGTCCAAACAATTTTTGACGAAGGTTGTGTTTATAAAATGTGGCTTAATATCTGTTTAACAGTTCAGGATTGGTTTGAATTCCTGGTTGAAACAGTAACAGAAGTGGCGACTTATCAAAATTTTTATGGGGGCTGTAAATTTTTAAAAGAAAATTTGTTTAAAATATTATTAGGTTAACATTATCTATTTTTTATAATATTTCAAAGGAGGCGAGAGATCCGCTGCTTTCACATAATCAGCGTTTATGAGGAATAGTTCAGGTGCGTTTTTATATATTTTATAGAGGATGCAATATCTCACAAAAAAAATGTGGATTCTTAACTTTTTATTTATATGTAATCGATAATAAATTAAATTTCTTTTCCAAAAAAAAATCGCTTATATAAAAATTAGGTATGGTATATACAATAAAAATATACATATTTCAATTTAACTATCAAAAAAAAAATATCAATTTGCTTTTAACTCATTTCCGATTTATTAATTGTAAAAAATCTATAGAAATATACTAAAAATATATTATTATATTTGATATTTTAAGTTCCTTTCTTGTATTTATTTCTTTTTTTTCCAATTATAAAGATTTAAAAAATCAAAAAATAATTATAAGAAGATGGAAAATAAAATTAATTGAAAAAAATTTTGAATGATCTTCGACATTTCCAATGTTATACCACTTATTTTAAGGCATTAAAAACAAGGAAACGTAAAGAATAAGAAAAATGCTAATTTGTTCATTTGAAGGTTCACTCCCCCCCAGTTAAGGACAAACTACCTTTTTTATCATCTAATCGAAATAACGTGAACATCTCCCGGTTTGCGGCCGCTATCTCAGGAATGCATCTACATTTAAATTGGCACAAATACAACCTTTTGATATTTTCCCCATGATTAGTTGAAGTGAAGGGGTGAATTAAAATAACAATGAGAATATAAATTTATATTCTGACGATGTTATTAATGAGAATGCTGTTATTTTATTCCTACAAGAAGTCATATAATAGTATTTATAAATTATATGCCAAATCTGAACACATATACAATTCCTTTTAGCGATGTTCACAGTTTTTGATCATTTTTAATAGGAAACTTTATTAATTCAAATTTTAATAAAATTCTTATAATACATTTATTTTTCAAGTATTATATATTGGAATTACCTCAAGAAGTCTTTTAACCATATTCTAGATAAGTTTCAGAAGGAAAAAAAATAGGGTAAGTTTGGCGAACGAGGAAGCCTTAGCATATTGGAAGGAATTCTTTCCTTTTAAACATAGCTTGGAAAAAAAACATTTTGTTTTATGTATATTAATAATTCATGTAGTTTCCTTTCATAAAGGTTGACGTAAAAATAGCGCACGCCCTCTGTAAAATTATATTTGACAATCAAATATGACGATCAAATATCATTATTAAGAATAAATTGTACCTTTTCAGGATTAATAAACTTTCTGATTATCAAAAACTGCGAATATCATTTAAATATCTGCATGACTGATGGGGCATCAATTGTTTCATCTAAGTGAGTTTGATAATTGAATTTAATTTATATTACCTTAAAAAATATAAATTATAAAGTAAAATAAAATGTTTAATTAATAAGCCTTATCCCATATAAATAACTTATTTTAAATAAATGGCCCAAAGGTTAACATCTTTTTTCAACATTAATTGATAAAAAATATGTCGATATTTGATAAACTAAATAGGTATACTTAGAGGTAGAAAAGACCTGTTCTTTTTGCTTTTTTCTGTTTTTTTGCTATCACTGAGACTACAATCATTGCGAGAAATTTAATCTACCAATTTTATTTACAAAATTATCAATATTACAATCATATTTTAATTATAACTTGCTCATTTTGTTAAATTAATTAACTTTTTAAATTTGAATATTTTAAAATTTCTTTAAAAATAATTTTCAAGCTAATTCTTTTGTTATATTTTTTCACTGTTTTTACCCCATTTTTTGAAATTTTGAAAAAAATGACTCTTTTAAAAATGTTTTATGTGCATTTTTACATTACTTAAATATTCACTTAACTTTTTATATTTTACCTATTGATATTTTTCTTCAAATTTTCTCTCAGCTCGATCCCGTTAAATAGTTCACAAATAACTTTCTTTTTTTTGGATAGAAATGTTATTGAACCTCCTGTCCTGTCCTTAAATTTTTTTTTAATACAAATTAATTAATAAGTATAATTTATATATTATATTTTTTTAAAAAACTAACAAACATTTATTTCATAAATTATTTTAATATATGTAATATAAAAAAAGGTATATTTATTATTTAAATTTGCAATAAATATTTTTTTTAATCAGTATAGTTTAGGTCTATAAATTAATTTACTATATAAGTAGGCATACAAATGCATACCTTTTATATGTATTTAATTTATTAATTATAAATAAGTCTAAAAGTCATTTTGAAAAAAAAAAATTATGCACATGTCCATGTTCCCTAATATTGATAAAATGTTTTTTTTTTAAACAATTATTTAGTAAGGTCAAAAGTTTTGTATAATAAACAATTGCCATTAATGGGGTTCATAGTTGGTTGTATAACGTAATGATTTAAAAATATATATAGTTAATAGAAATGGGGTTTTAATATAAAAGTGAAATGGATAGATATATCAGTATCGGTATAAAAATAAAAGAAAAAATGAACAGGTTTAACCTTCTCTAAAAAACGTATAAATATTTCTCTAATAAAAACACGTATATAATTTATTTATTTTAATTGAGAATTTTCTATAATTGATTTAGTTTTAAAAAAAAGAAACAGTAGATATAACGTATATACAATTAGGTTTTTTTTTTTATAAAAGAAAGAATTTTATAAAATCGATCCTATTTTTATCAATGATTTAATATTTCGTAAAAAAAAAAATATTAAATTAACGAACAAATTTAGTTCATTTACTAAGCCTAGAGTAAATTAAAATATGTGACCCCATAGGCACCGGCTTCATGGGAAAGGCGGAACTCCCGAGTCCATTGAAATATTCCATAAAACAGATAATATTGATCCAATAATATTTAAAACATCAAATTTTTATATAAAACTTTACAGCCCCCAGAATTTTTATATGCGCGACACTGATGTTTCAGGGGCTGATTTTATTTTGAGCACGCCCATAAAATAAATCTATCTGAACTAGTAAACCTAAAAAATCTTAAAAAATTGACTCCATAGCATGACAATGATAAGAGAACTGATATCATATGATTAGTCAATTCCATTATTTTCAGTATATAAATTTTTAATGACTCAACAGTTCATAGCCAAATTATATAAAAATTAACGGACATGTAAGGGAGATCGGGTAGGTCCCCAGAACATGTGATATGTTTAAAAAAAACTAATAAAGATTAAGGTCGGAAATTTAATCGTAAGATAACAAATTATGATGCACACCTCTCAATATTTAATAACTTTTTCAGGTCAACTTATTATTAATTTATACTAATAAGAGCTTTTATACCCTAAAAGTTGCAAAATATGCAAATTTTTTGTCTAATTATTTAATACTAATCTTAGGCACCACAAATAATGTGCCAAATGAAGGCCTAAATCTTATTCTATCATGTGTGAGTTTTATATCACACGATTAACTATTGGTATTATTTACACTTTTATCGGCAATGTAGGCTTGGTGACGTAGAACCGAGATTCGTAGAGTCATTTATGTCAAACCGCAGAATTTTTTATGGCAGGATATGACTGACAGAACAACTTGAAATTTATAGTGTATTTTTAAAAACTCCTTTACTAAAATGTATCTAATTTCGTAAAAGTTGTACACTTTTGGCCAGGATTAGGACTTATATAACTTTTTTTTGGACAAGGTCATCTAAATAAAATCTTTGTTTCTTTGTTTGATGGAAAATATTTACTGCGCTTAGTTATAATAATATTCATATTTCAAATAAGTTAAACTTTTATTATGTAATATTCATACAAAATTTAAAATCCAAATATAAAAATGGTCATTTTATAAAAATGGTCATTTTATAAAAATGGTCATTTTATAAAAATGAATGGAGGACTCCCAGTTCCCAAAAAACAAGCCTATTTTTATTTTAAAATAATGATTTGAATTTTTTTGTTTAAGAAAATAA